AGACTTCCATTGTTGATGTACCCGTCCCGTCTTTTAATGTCATTGAAATTATCAACCTGATCTCTACTAGTGAAAAGAAATGTTATAACCAGCCTTATTAATGATTTTGTCCCTTTCATTGTTCGGGAGCCGTATAGCTACCGGCCCCAATAAGGCGGTCATTTGATCCCACTCTTACCCTAGTACATTGATGATTAAGTTTGCCGTGACATTGTTGTGGGAGCATATCTAGCTGAGTATCAATCGCCTCTGCGCGAGCAGTTCATGCAAACCATTTGTTTTCTGATCGCAACAGAGAGTTTGGAGAAGTTACATGTGGATATATACAGACTAGTCCGGCGAGTGTCGATGGGCTACATCCGAGGGACTAACCTTTAGTTTTCAGCAATTCTTCGCCCGTATATTTCCAGATCTCGTCCATGTCTGGTGCTCTTGGCTGGTGTTCCCCTTTGTGTCCTGGGCAAGGGCCTTCAAATCTACCTCGTCGATATGCGTGGAGCTGACCACGCAAATGAGGCGTCTTTCATCGTCGCAAAGACGCTAGTCGGAATTGGTAGAGGGCTCTGTCAGACTGCAGTCCAGGCTTGCATTCAGACGGTGGCTGACCGGGATGACGTCGCCGTCGCTACAGGAGTGCTTTTGCGAGCATGAATCGTGGTGGTACTATTGGAACAAGGTACGTGACCTGCCAACCGTGATGCGGTATCCGTGGCTTGACCTATGCTCAGTATTTAGCGTTCAAACCTTCTCACAAAATTTGGGAAATATGTCCCATCCACTTCCAAGCCTAAGGCAAGGTCTATCTTTGCGTCTATTGTCGTTGCACAGGAATTTGCCATCGGCACAACTGAGCGACAAGCAATCAACCTTGCATCCAGAGAGACCCAGCAGTTGCTTGCTATTTCAGCTACATGCGCGCTAGCTCCAATGATGATTATAATGTGGCTCGTCAAAATTGTTCATTTAGTTCAGACGCAAGGATCGAGCGCACCAGAGGAGGGCATGGACAAAATCGAAACTGATAGGGGAGGTGACATTGAAAGTGTCACTGTTGAGGCTAAGAAGACTCGCGGTGTTTAAATTTGTTTCTTTATAATTTGAGATGAGAATGAGTCTATAGAGAGTTTCATGATTAACCAGTCAGTATTGTGTTGCAAAAGGCCAGTCCTCGAATACCGTCGCTAACCCTCTACTAAATAAACATGCAATAACAATGCTATGATCCTCTCTGTTATGAATGTGAGCGGCGAGGTACTTGAGCTTCCTATATACCTGAAGGCGTCTCTATATAGTTGAAACGTCATCCACCATCTTTCGCCGCTGGTCACGATCTGCTCTCTCTTTACAATAGCAATAGTCTTCACCTCGCTTTCTCTGGGGATCCTGTTCCTGCCCGCTGACAGCCAAAAGTAACGAGGACGAATAAGACACACAGGGTTCAGTTCTACGGAATCCAACCTCCTCCGTCAAGATAAAACGGTTGTTCCACTAAATTCTTAGACTGCCACCCAGAAAGCAGTTGAAACTATTTGGTCTCGTGCAAAGGGCATGTAGAACGAAAGACCCTCTAAGAGAATGGCCAAACAGTGCCTCCTTCCCAATGGTAGCGCCACGCGGCTCCTGAATCCTTCGTTTAACTAGATCTTCCAGCTTGTCTTGAATCAGGTCGAGAAAAGCATCAGCTCCTCCCTCCAGCCCGGACGTTACTTCAGCAGATGGGGTGAGGTCCTTTGTCCGCCGAGGACACATCACTGTGCTTGAGTCTGGAGAAAGAGGATATCCAATAGCAACAATGACTCCGTCGCTGAATGATTGTGGTATCATGGAGAGGCGACGATGCAGTGACTCGAGCGCAGCCAGAAAGACAGAGTTGCCGCCCACGAGGTAGCTGCTACGATTTAGTCGTCTTTACGTTTTCGGCATTCTTCACATCAACTTACATGACTGGAATGCAAGGCTTGGCAAAACTTGGACTCCGGTAGGTCCAATCTCGGCGATACCCAATTTGGAGTAGATAATGCTCTTCCGTAGCCGTGAGACTATTTACCTTCCATGATTCAGAACAATGTGTATGATCGATAAAACTCTGACTTAACATTGGATGCACTTTAAATGTTTTACTACTGAATCACCATGGCCTTTGGGGCGACTGAGAAGTCTCAATCGTGCTTCTTTGAAGATGAACCGTCTTATTGCGCGTTTGTTGAAAATCGAACGACACTTGAGCACCACACTTGCCGACTTCGGAGCTCGGGGCTGGGGCTTACGAGAATGGAACGTATACTAGGATACCTTGCCGAGGCACATAAGACTTGTGCTCTCAGTGCGTAAGAATTCTGTGTTCTTTCATGGCTTGAAGTGCACATTGCTGCTATGCGCGCGATTACGCACGATACGGGCGACACGCCTGGGACAACAGCGGCGCTGCGATCGACAGATACCATGAGCATGATCGGATTTGAAGGGATTGCAGCACTCCCACTTCGCAATATGGTAATCCGGGCACAATCCTGGGAAAAGGTTTTGGAGAGTGGGACAGTAAGAATCCTCATGCCCCCACAACCACAACAATCGCGAGCGCCGCAGGTGCTGGATATCAATTGTACTTGCCTGTTAGCACGTGGTAAATGGTCTTTGCCACTCAATCATTGGCTAACGTCCATTACCGTGCAAGTAGCTGGGTCTCTTTTGACTTTCCCCTTCAGCAGTCCGTCATCCATCCCACTGGCAGCCATCTGTTGGGTGGGGGGCCCAAAGCGTGTCTAGCGTATCACCGCAACCCGCGTAAATAGCGTATCCCCGGAATCTAGGTCTGGAATTGACTGGGGTATCCGTACATTGTACCACCTTCGATGGACACTTGCTACAGACACGCCGCCTTGCTCTTGCAGTTCTACCAGCTATTTCCCCGCGTCTCTCCGTGTTCGCTTCTTCTGTGATTCAATTCCTGTTGAAGCCCGAACGAAGGATGTGTCAGTCCCCTTAAACGAAGTCATCTAATTCACACGAGCACGAGCATCTGTTCCCCCAGAGTCTCAGGCCTCCCACATAATGTATGGTTTACTAGTACGTCGCACAAAACTTCCGGTCACCAACATCAAGCATGAAATTACGATAGAAACTTGTCATTTACAATTTGAGTGCATAATGATAGTTTCAAGCTAGCGCGTTTCAATGCCATCATGAATTCAAGCACCGCGCAGGTACTCGCAAACCGGCTTTCCCCATCTGACGGCGCTTTTATACTTCCACATTCCCGGGCAGTTTCCTTTTTTCAGACCTTCAATTGCATCAGCAAGTGCAGAACCCATGCCCTCCGCCTTGATCTCTTTCACTGGGTACAAGTATGTCTTGAAAGAAAAGAGAATGCTGTGTGACTTCGAGAGTCGGCTCAAAGTCTGCAATTCGCATCGCACAAATGCCTTTGCAATTGTTAGCTGGCTCATCTCATCTTCAGCCTCACAAGTCTTTCTGTATCTACCTTTTCTGCATCAATATGTTCTTCGGGATCCACCTTGTATTCGCCGTGAATGTGATTCCCCTTCGTATTATACAGACTTGTGTGAGTCTGAATTGTCCACTTGGGTTTCTACTGCGTTAGCTAATACGTTCTGAGCTTCTTTTCGTCGCAAGATAGACTTTACATTAACACGTTTGACGCTCTCTCCAAATTTCAGCTTGGTGAAGAAACGTTCCATGCTAGGTCCTATTTTTTCATACGCTGGAACAGTGGTGTGGATGGCATTCATATGTTTCCCAAGCTTCGAGGCAGGGTTCCACCCTGATGGGAAGCAGCACATGAAGGCCACACACTGATGTCCATCAGGTGTTGGTTTGAGGATGAAAATGTCCTCTTCGACCGACGTGCCTACTGCACGTAAGGCAGCGAGTGTATCGATTGGGGTTTCGACTGAGTATTCATCTCGTGTTACCTGATTCCTGACGATGCTGCCGTTTTCCGCTAGTTCGAATAATGTGGGATATCGAGTTGGCAGGTATTCTGACATCAGGTAGCTGTACAGCTCTTGCACAGCATCCTGGCCGGATGGAATGTATCCATGAACTGTCTGGCCGTGTTTCTTGATGAGGGTTTTGCGAAGGTTGATTCGTTCCAGATAGTCTTTGTCGATTGTGATAAGATCGGACGGCGTATCGGACTGCAGGGCTTTACCCAGAGTTGTCAAAACCAGTCTGACCGGCATTCTTATGAATTGCACGAACCCATGGTAATGTGATAAATCGGCTTGAAAGGTCTGAATTTCCTTGGTGATGCGGACTTCCAGTCGAAGTTTTCAAGCCGTTCCAAGGGGGCCTTGGCCGTTACGTTATGGGCGTGGTTCTCCACTTGTCTGATACCAGACTTGAGGTCGTTGGAAAGACGCCATTTCCTAATCTTAGTGATCAATGTCAGTTATGGAAACAGGATGAGATATGAGCATAACCCTACCGTTGATGTTATCCATGCATAGACAGCAATGGATAGGACAAGTGCTGCCACTGATGCCAGACTGAAACTGGCTTTGAACTCGTGGTTGAATGTCATTGTAGGTTGCGTATGGATCTGGCTGACGTATTTGTTGAGTATCTACGTCGACGGCCAAGAATCCCATCTTCTTCGGGGGTTCACCAATTTATATGGAAGCGAAAGAGCTGTACTTGACCTCCCTGGGAGTGTGGGAGTGAACCTAATCAGTAGAACCCCACACCCCACACCCCTTTTAGACCGGAGATGCACCCGTGTGACGGCTTATCAAGGCGGGGAAATGAGACGGCAAGACACCCGAAAGTCCTCGAATCCAATCTTGTCTGGATCTAGACCAGAAATTTCGGGGTTAGAGGTGGATTTCCTTCGGTGTTAAAGGAACAGCACAGTCCGGAAGCGTTGAATTGTCTTTCCTCGTGATGCCGGCATGGCAGCGTGGGCTGGGTCGTACGATGTACCTGTTTTCTTTGCCTAAGATGGTTTACTAATGTCTCAGATATTAATCTCGCCCTCTTTGCTACAATCTTGCTTCGACTCCGTTGTATGCGAGCAGATTGGGTGTGTACTCCGGTACTCCATCAATGACGTCCGGCTTGGCCAGCTCCAAGATTCTGGCAGTTACTGCCTCAACAGAGTCTAGGCCGGCTTCCAGGCTCTTCAGGTACAGCACCAGGCCAGAAACGTGGGGCGAGGCCATAGATGTGCCAGTCAATGCTACGTCCTTTCCTACTTCCAATGAAAGCGAGTACACATCAACTCCTGGAGCATACAAGTCCACTTTAGATCCAAAGTTGCTGTAGCTTAGAACAGTGTTGTTTGCAGCGCTAGCTGCGACCGTGATCGCACTGACTACTCCAGCTGGAGATACGCGGTTCACATCAACACCAGCGTTGCCGGCGGAGACGACTGACAGAATCCCGTGCTCAGATGCTGCGTGCACCAGGCTATCAAATGCGTAGTTGATAGGGCCGCCTTTTTGGGGTCAGCTTATCCAAACCAAGTTTGCAGTCACATATGACTCACCCAGGCTCATATTGATCACTGACACTGCAGCACGACCAGGGATCGACGTGATGTTGTTCACAGCCCAAGAGAATCCATCCATAAAGTCCGACATGACACCCTGCAGATGCATGTTAGCCTCTGCGTCTCGGTCGTTCCATTTAGTCCATTTAGTTACTCACTCGGCCAGGTGCTATTACTTTGATAGCAATAACACGCGCTTTCTTTGCAACTCCCCATGTTTTGGACGCAATAGTGCCAGCAACATGCGTGCCATGGCCAGTGCTATCTTCGAAAGGGATGTCCGCGAATACTGTGTATCCTAGTTCGGCCCGCCCTTCGAAGTCGGGGTTGTCGATCCAGACACCAGTATCAATCACATATGCGAATGTACCCTCTCCTCCGTTTTCGTCGTGGCGATATTCGAATCCATCTCTAAGGCTGGCATTGGCATCAATGGGGGCCACGTGGGAAATAGTGCCCAAACCCCATGTCGCCTGCTGCTGTGACACAACATTAAACGGATAGATGGAAGCATCTGGCTCCACACGCTCGACCTGTCACAAAAGTCAAACATTATCCCACTGTTCTCTTTTGTGACTAGACGTACGACTTCATTTGCTTGGATCTCCGTCAAGGTTTCTTCGTCGAAAGAACCCGTATAAGCGTGGAAAGAGCCGATGTCAAAGGTCTTTTCAACTCCGACGAGGTCGCGACGGGCTAGATTCCGCTTCTTGTGGACTTCGTGCACCCATCTGAGATGGTTTTCAACAGCAGTCTCGGGTATATTCGCCTTCAGACTGATGATGTATTTATTTGGAATCGCAAGGTCTCGACCTGCCAAGATTTGGGAAAAGGCAAATGGAATGCCGTTCAAAAGAATGGAGAGATTGAACTTCATTTTGACGCAGCTGGGGATCCGAAATTGAGAGGAACTCACTTTTCCGACGGGAGATTCCACGTTTTATGCTCTAGCTTTGATCACGCAACAATAATAGAAACTGCTGGTTACCCGAATCTGTTTTCTTGGCTCTCGTATTTCTAGCTCGCTAACCCTCAATAGGTAGGTCAACAAGGATCATCGCAAGGGGATCTTGACCGAATGGTACCTTGCCATCCCGCTTCACAAGATGCAATCACACAGCCTATTCACGTTGTCCAAGTGCCCCGGTGCACCATCTCAACTTCTAAGGACAGGATCAGGACGCATTTCTCAATATCTCGGACACGGGTCACACAGTAAATGTCGAGTGCTACGATTGACAAAACCTGTTTGAGCAGCAGCAGTAGAAAATTACCTCCCGGGCTCAGTAACTTATCAAGCTCGGCCAGACGGACCTTTGAGTAACCACTAATTCAATCCCAGTTTCCATGGAACTGAGAACCTCATTCTCAGGAGGCGGCCTTGTTCATAATTACTCCCGATGGATCTCGAGTAACCTCGTCACCCCACTGCGCCTCCCAATTGTTCTCCTGCAGATATTTTTTCCAAGCCTCATCGTCATCGTTCAGCCGGCGAGACACGTCCGGAATAACAAACAGCGCAATTATGGCACCTAGAACAGCAAACCCTGAGCCAATTAGGAAAGCTACCTGGTTTCCTTTGGAGGGATCCGACGTGTAGGAGTTGAGAATGGCCGTAAACACCTTAGATGAGTCAGTTTGAGAAGCAAAGACCACAATCTAGCGAGAAGAGACGAAGTTACCTGTGTCCCAATAGCCGCTCCAGCTTTTGAGAAAGCCGAGATTAGACCCATCATCTGTCCTCTTATGGACGTTGGAAAACACTCAGAAGCAGTCAAGACAACCGTACTGGACAGCTTGTTAGTCGAGCTTTTCCGCCGAATCTAGGCAACTCGCCCTTGTCTCACTTACCTTCCGGGTCCAACTTCGCCCAGCGTCAAGAAAATACCGTACAACACGACGAACAATGGGAAGATGTTTTGGATAGGGTTCATCGCTCCACCGAGAACAAATCCAAGGATTGCCTGCAGTGTGAACCCCAAGGCCATAGTCTGACGTCGACCAATCTTGTCGGAGAGATATCCTCCGATAAAGGGACCGGGTACGTAAAAGCAATTGATTACGACACCCCATCCAAGTGTTTTAACGAGGCTGTCACCGGCGTTGGCTCGAGACATGATGGTAGAGCTGAAAATACCAAAAGGAATGCTGATCCAGTTGTACAAGAACCAAGTCGAAGCGGAGCCGATGAGAGGCCTCCAATATCTTTTCAAAGCCAGCCAGTAAGGTGTGCGCTGCTTACGCATTGCTGACTTGCGGTATGCTGTTGAAACGGCCATGCGCATTCTAAACCAGAAAATAAGAAGCGGGGGCGCCATTCCAAGAGCAAAAGACGTTCGCCAAACGATGTCATACTTGGAAACTTGCTGACCAACACACAGCAAGAGAAGCAAGGGCACCAAAGCGCCCCAAATATATCCCAGACTGCTTGACAGATCCGCCAACATGGCGAACATGAAGCCTCTCCTCTTGCGATACTTGGCGTCTTCGTCTGTGGCTTCGGCTGCACCAGCGCCTGACACAGGATACTCTCCACCAGCACCAACGCCGGCTATACCGCGAGCCACAATCAACATCCAGAACATTCCAGTCGGGTCTGTTCCACTGGCCGCCGTGGAGAGCGTGATGCCCAGCACCAACAGAACTGTGGTTGCAACGGCGCCGGTCTTTCGTCCAAGTTGGTCAACTACCACGCCAAAAAGCAGCATGCCAACAATCATTCCGATGAGGAACGCATTTGACAGACGCTGGTAGATTGTGTCAGTTAATTCGTCGGGATACAGAATAGCGAGCAGCAGCTCCACATTGCCAATGACGGCGGCATTGCTGTAGAGACAACTGTTAGTTTCGCACGTCAAGAGGGATCAAGGCTAGATATGGCGAGAGTTCTGAAAAGAGTCATACTATCCGTCAGAACCAATCGCCAAGCCAGAAAATAAGACCATAAGCCAGACAGAAACGGTGCTGTAATAGGTCTTCTCAGGCTCCTCAGTCATGATGTCTATTTCTCCTTTCTCCACATTTGCGGCCGCTTTTGCATGATCGGCTGCAATCTTGTCGCTGCCCGCAAAAGTCGTCGGCATCTTTGTGGGCGCGTCGATGTCGTGTGTTGGTTCGGGGCTCATAGTGCCGGTTCGCTGCAGTTCCACGGGCAAAACATAAGATTGATGGGCAAAACCGGGAGAGAAGAGGGTAACGACAATCCTCCCCTAACTCCAGCGGACCACCCATCCATTTTACTCGTCACCGCGGCTCGATATCTCACCCAACCCTCCGGACCGGGTCCCTTAGGTCTTCGGCAAACAATAGGCAGCGATTGCATTCCTATCTGCTGGTCCGGTTCGGCGATGTAACCCGAGGGAAACACGCATGCGTTATCAACACCCTTGCGAATGATACAAGTTGGTCGCTGCAAGTGTTGGTACCTGCTGCGTGGCTGGCATGACTCGTGTGGGGAACATTCCAAAGCCAGGAAATGATCCGCATCTGCTGCACCCCGGAGAGGGGTTGGTGCGCGAAGTCGGACAGCCCCCGACATCCGACCTCTCGGCAGTTCATCCTCTGTCGTCTCTGCATTTGCCTGTCATTTTCTCACTCGCAAAAAAATCAAAAAGACACAATTCCATTCGTCAGTTTGACTTGACAAATCTTACAATTGTATGTTGAAGATACAAAACGACCGATGCCAAATTCAGAGAAGCATCCCAGAGGCGCTCCAGCCTTTCCGGCTCCGACGCCGCATTCGAAGGCGAGCGGCACCCGAATGGTTCCCCTTGTTGCGACTGCGCTCTTTCTCTTGGCTATCACTTTCTACAAATGTTCTTTATCCCACATCAGCCAACACACAGTCTTCCAAAAGGTTCAGCAGTGCGCCATCGACAACTTGAGGTCTGACTTGTCGTTTATTGACTCTGCTGTGCCCATTGCCAGCGACGAGTTCATTGAGCGACGGGATCGTCTTGCCAAGGCCTTAGCCGCTACAGGTGTAGACGCCTTCGTACTTGAGCCCGGCTACACTTTTCAGTAAGCAGTCCGCCCTGTGAAAATAGCCTTTCTGTCGGTTCTGACGTTGGACAAGATACTATGGCAATATTTCCCAAGTCGATTGGGAGCCATGGGAGCCTGAGGAGCGACCGTTCCTGATGTTGGTCTTGCCTCAGACCTCATCATCTGGTGAAGTCACTGCCAAAACAGCTTTTCTGTCCCCCCATTTCGAAGAGGGCCGAGTTCGCATGTTGGGAATTCCTTCTAGAGACGAGGATCTTGACATTGTGATCTGGGAAGAGCACTGGAATCCATACGATACACTACTTAAGTCGCGTCTCTTCGATGGCCACAAGGCCAAAGTCATGGTTGATGAGGAGATGCGTGATTACATCGTCCGTGGTCTGGACTCCGTCGGATTTGAGACCGTCGGTCTGAACCCGGAAGTGGAGCTTGTGCGACAACAGAAGACTCCTGCAGAAGTAGAGCTGCTCCGCGCCGTCAACACCGGGACCGTGGTTGCGGTTAGGGCAATGCGGCCTTGCCTAGTTCCTGGTCTCACCGAGGATGAGGTAACTGAAATCCTGAACGGTGCTCTTTTGTCCATCGACTTCCAACTCTTCTTCAACATTGTTTTGTTTGAAGAGCACGGAGCCTTACCCCATGGCGGCTTCGTCACTGGCTGGAAGAAGTTGACGACCGAGAGCATGGTCGTCATTGATGTTGGCGCTCACTATTTGGGTTACAGCTCGGACATCTGTCGCAGTTTCTTCATTGACCCGCCCAAGATAGAAAGACGCAGCATGATTGGTATGCTCCTGGGACTTCTCGGGAAGTCATCAACAATGCATACCTCTGAATTGACCTCCGGGCTCCGAGCGGAGAAGTTCAAGGTCTGGGACATTGTGTTGGAAGCACAGACTGCGGCTGCTGCTGCTTTCAAGCCGAACAACACGGCTGCCAGTGTTGACATTGCCGCGCGCACTGTTATTGAGGATGCAGGCTACGGTTACGGTTTTACTCACCGTCTGGGACATGGCATTGGTATCAAAGGTGAGTTTTCGTACCCGCCGCCGAGACCCACGTATGATTGCTAACGTTTCTTAGCCCACGAGTCCCCTTACTTGAATAAGTGGAACAACCAAGTTTTGCTTCAGCCGGGCATGACCTTCACCAATGAGCCAGGCATCTACCTTGAGAATAGGTTTGGTGTAAGACATGAAGACATCTATCTCGTCAAAGAGTCTGGAGAAGCCGAACTACTCACAGGTCGCCGAGCTACAGGACCGTATGATCCGTAGCTTCTGTGCGGGTCTGAATGAGTAAGAAGGAAGGATATACACTTCAGACTTCCCTAGACAATAGATATTCTCTCCGTATGAGACAGATCAAAAATATCAGGTCCTGCCCCTGACTGCGGTGTAGAGAAGAATATCCCAACCCGGTAGAACTCTCCACTCACGAGCGTCGGGTAGATCACCAACCCATATGCCGTTCGATCCTTCTTTGCTATAGGTCTTAACGGCTGTTTTCCTTCAATGGGATGACGCACTCCACTCTGCTCATTGTGATCAATGCGGCATTCTATCCATTCGTCGCTCTCAGCATCGTCTTCACAGAACTCATTTGCCTTAGGCTCTTCGATCGTACTCCCAATGAGGATCAATCGAAGTCTTGAACCCTCCACCCCCAAAGTAACCATCACGATATCATTTCGGAGACATTCAAAGTCCAACTGTATATCGACGGTGGTTGTTCCATCGCATTGAAGCCGGAAAATGCTTTCGTCGCACCACGCCGCCTGTTCCTGTGTCGTCGACATGCTGGATTTAAGAGAAAGCGATTTGGCGGTAATCTCCAATACGCCGTTGGATACTGCACCAAATTGATTGGGCCCGGACGGCGTAGCCTCGAAATGATGCAGATCATACTCTGGCTGACAGCGGGTGTGTGAAAACACAGCGTACTCTCCGACTTGATACATGGGGAAGGCAACTCCGTCGCACATGTGGGCAAGTCTGGCCCAGCTCCATGAGGGTCCCATGTAAGTCCTAGGGCTCAATAGCCCATCCAGCCAGACTCGGTCATCTGCTGCCTCAACGCGCATCCATACCAATGCCCGGTGGAGATCCCCTTTCCAGAGTCCTGCTACATATTCGTCACAAACTAAATCCTGGAATAGGCGAGCTGTGCCCGCAAATGCCGGTAAAACGTCCGTTCCGACTGTCAGGGTTTTGGTCCGGTCCGTGTAAGAGGTGACAAGGCGGGAAGACCACCTATCATAAAGTTCAACGCGGTCATACTCCATATGCTTCGCTGATGGAAATTGAAATGATTCGCTCCCAGCCCAGTGACGGCATTGCTTGGAAACGTGAAATTCGGAGCAAGAGAAATGGACACTGCGCTTCCCGAATAGCAACATTCGTGTTGAAAGCACGTTTTCCTGGAAGGTCCATCCTCTGTCATCCCAGTTACTCTCTGCGACATCATAGTCCATTGACCAAGGGTCCAGACAGTGTCCTGTCTCGCGGATGACTGGCTGGTCAACTGCAAACGAGCCTGTGATGCTGGGATGAAGTCGGGATTGAAAAGGTAGAATCATCTTTGCTCGCTTCTGCAGAAATCCTTGCCGACAGCTGGCCGACCCTAACGCGCAGACAGTAACGTATGCATTGCGATAAATCTTGTCCATTATGGCGCACTGGATGGCCCAGTCGCTTCCAGCACCCTGGATGATACAGAGTGCGTCGACCCGGAGATATCTCAACCCAAGAGCTCTAGTGACCATTATGGATTCCTGGATTGAAATGGTGAGCTCTGAGAAATCAAAATTCTGAAGCCTTTGGGCCATGTTCGCCGCGGTCAGTTTTGCCTGAGCTAAGGCATCTTCTTTCTTTCCCCAACAGTAGCTCAGGGCCGCATATCTTCGGTCAAAGGTTTCGGGTCCCTGCCATATTTCCCTTTTTGGAACAATTTTGAGAGCATCATTGGACACATCTATGAGTCTGTCGGGAATGAAATGCTCTCGTGCCATGGGATGACAAACTTGTGTATGGTTTTCGCACAAGGAAAGCTTCTCTTCCATCCACTGAACGTATTCAGGATCCAGGTAAGAGATTGGGTCGCCAAGACTGAGCCATGAAGCAACTGGTTGTGCGCCTAGACTATCTACAAGGCTAGGACATTAGTCTTCCTGCTTTTTCAATCCAGTGTCATGTTCAATAGTTACCCGATGATGTGTGGGTGGGAATTACTCTGCTGGACGTGATTCGAAAATCAGCGGAAAGACTTTTTATCAAATCTGTATAGCTGGTCAATGTCTAACCATAAGAACTACACCATTTCTTACTTTTGCTGTGGGAGTGAAAGTGGGCATTCATTACTAACGCCCGAAGCCCGCGTCTTGCAACTCCAGGAGACAGGCCCCATGCGTAAGATAACGATGTCTTGACAAATCCTCTGACTTCATGCAACTCAAACATTCTGTCCGCACGAATCTCAGTGAGTGCGTCTTTAATCCAACGACAAATTGGGCAATAGAAACTTTGCAGACGAGCATGGAGTTGTTCGAGTGATGGCCAAGTGATTTCGAAATGCCAGTCAATCGGAATCTCGAAAGATTCACACTCGCTGTCAAAGTCAAGATACTGTGACCCATCTGCTGCTACTGTTGTATGACTGCCGAGTTGGTCGTCGTTGAGAGGGATCGCTTGGCAGTGACTGCAGAGAATCGACATTGAAAGGATCATGTCATACCGGTGTTGGTCCATTTTGACAGGCGGTTTGGTCCAAATCTTTCATGGTGACGGAGGGCAAAGATAACTTTTGGCCTTTTGCTCCGAAGCACCAAATGTTTGGATGAGTCAGACGGGAACTGTGCAGTAATTGGTCGCGACGACCTGCCATGCTGACGCCCCCACCTCCTACGAACTTGAGTGGGCGACATGATCTGGTTCTGCCGAGGTTCGCATCGCAACGTATGGCAAACTAGTATGCTGTTATTCGACATCTCGAATTCTGTCTAGTTCGTTGATAATTCCAGCTTAAATTTTGGCTGGAGATATTAAGAGCTGGCAGCTAATGCCTACAATTCATCATGCACACTCTGGACCCCATCCTGCTCTGCAACTGGCGACTGACCATCCCAAGGCTGGACGTTGCCCTCGGAAATATCGACAATGAAACTTTCCACGCTTTTGGTGTCAAGTTTGCCAATGTACGGGAAAATCTGTCCAGTTTGGGGGTTCTGAAGCGCCAATGCTTCAGATATGTCTTTTGGAAGTCCTAGCCCTACTAGCATGTCGGAATACTCGCTAGAGTCCACAGTAACAAAGTTGAGGTACTCCTGAAAGTTTCTTGCGAGCTGTCTGATGTCGCTGGAATACTCTTCCCGTCGCTCGTGGTCAGAGGCAAAGAAGTACACAAGGGATTTGCCAGCCTGGTAGCAATAAGAGCCCACTCAGATACATGTCTCGACTGTGAAAACTTACACTCAAGTGTTCCATCTCGTTCCTCCGCGTGAGCTGTGCCACGAGAGGCGTGGAGCACTGACGGATGAGCGACTGTAACGCATCAACTGCCGAAAGGTCGTTTGCATTGAACTGGAGGCTGTCAAGATTGTTATGGCAGCTCATGCTAGACGATGTATCTGAGCCTTGCACCACACCAAATGAATATCGGTCATGGTGATGCTTTGCTAAATTGTCAAATCTTACTCGCAGACTGTCGTCGTTATTCGCCAGTCTGGCGACGAGAACAACATTGTCGCTCTTTGAGAAGTCACTTGCAGCATTTTGCGTGACATATGTGATTACTGGACGCGACAATCTCTTCACAAAAGCCGTGATACTGTCGGTAACCTTTAGCCATGAATCCCTCAGATTTCAAAATGGGACAAATACTCTTTAGTCCTGCGGGGCCCGCGGTATCTTTGCATGCTGCCGTCTTTAAGATACAGTCTGATGGCCGGGAAAGACGCTAGATCAGTCTCGTCGCAGAGAGAACGGTCGTGGAGACAGTCGACTGCGATGGCGTTGGGGTGTTCTTGATGAACCTCTGCCCATTGGGGTTCGAGGCTGTCGCTTGCAGCGCTGCAATACGAATCAGTACAAGCGTGTTCGGCGTCGTCTTCCTGACAATGGCAGACCATACCTTGAGGGCTAATGTAGATCAGAAAATGGTTTTCTGCAGCAGTTGTCAAATCCAAGAGAAGAGCTCACCGCAACGACTGGGGCAGGTCAGAACTCATGTTTGGGGCCAGATCAGGGATAATGTACTCACAAGCAACCAACGTGTCTTGGTTCCTTGTTAAGGCACTGCGAAACTCGTCCGCGGTCGCGAATTTCCAACATTGCACGAGATGTGCAGCGCCTAGCACCAAACCGACTGTGTTCAAAAACATTATAAAAGATTTGGATCCCGTGTCACCTAGTCAATGACTGAGAAGAGAATGAGAAACCAGACGACGTTGAAAAAGAGCTCGGGGGAGCTTTAGGTTCCAACGCGTTCCGGGGGATTACCCCAGTGCTTTGGGGGCCGACGCCCCATAATCGCGCCGTTTTCGCCCCTTGAGCCACGAAGATCAGACAAGGAAGCCCCTGAACTAGCCTCCGACTTGCTGAGAGAGTTAAGCCACCAGCCTGTGAACGCCAGCCCCAAAACACATTGAGTTTCATCAGCTCCTCCATCGGATCCGTCATCCGACTTTAGCTGTTGGCTTGACTGATTGATAAAAGGGATATCGTGAGACTCCCACCCCCGAACACCACTTTCCATATCCTGATACGTCCAAGTGAGCGAGATGGGGTTCCTAGCAGCAGCAAAAACGTTGGCCCTCGTGGCAGCACTGGCAACCCCAGTTGTCGGACACGATCAGAAGCCAATGACCAACTACCAATGCACTCATCCACCATACAAGATGCACATCGTCTCGAAATCGCCACTGGTCATTTACATCCCAGATTTCGTTACACCAGCCGAACGAAAACATCTCCTGGAGCTTGGGTGGGTGAACCGAGATATCTATTCCCATGCTTGCCTGCCACCCCGCTGACAATTCATAGAAGCGAGACCTTCACCCACTCCGGCGTCATCGACGCAGCCGGTGGAAAGACAACCCATCAAGTCCGCACCTCGCAGAGCACAGCTCTATGGCGAGATGATGTCGTTCGCTGTATCGAGGACCGTGCCATCGCGTTCCAAGGCTACAGCATGCCCAAGAGTCACATTGAACCCCTGCAACTAGTCAAGTATGGGCAGGGCCAGCGGTATCACTTTCACACCGACTGGTTCACAGATCCCAAGCATACCACGGCATCTCAGGGCGGGAATCGGATATCGTCTTTCTTTGGATATGTCTCTGTTGTCAATGTGACGGGCGGGGGAACCAACTTCCCCATGTTAGATGCCCCTCACGACGAACGGTGGTGCGAATTCATCGACTGCGACGAGCCTTGGGAGAATGGGGTGACGTTCCGTCCGGTGGAAGGCAATTTTGTGTACTGGGAGAATCTTTTGTGGGATGGCACTGGAGACCAGCGAAATCTGCACGCCGGGCTGCCTGTGACCAGTGGGCAGAAGGTTGGCATGAACATTTGGACGCGACAGGCGCCTCTTAGCAAGGAACTCCGAGGAGAAGAATAACCGCAACCTGGTGAATAATTTCCATACATGTATCCGTAATGGCAAGGAACCAAAATGTCATGCACCGGGTGTCGGACCAGAGTAGGATCATGTAAACAATCATCTCTAGTGAAAACAATGACTTGAACCTGGGGAGACCCCATTTCAAGCGGTGTTAACAGCGGCTTCTAGTTTTGCGCTTGCACCTGTATCAAGGTTCCCGTGGTTTGTGTGTTTCAACGGATGTACAGCTTCTATCACGTCATCTCATCGGGGATCAACAAGGAGCGTCTGGCGCGTAGGTAGAAGACACTTTCTGTAGAAATTGTCCACAATGCCCCGGACGAAACTCTATCAACATCACAACCGCCTAACATCCCAAGAGGCCGAGTCCAAGCGATGACAACGAGAGCAACGTGATAACATGGAGGCCAGGCGGTGCTGTGGCCAAAACCAAAAGCGATTGCCGGCTTCAAGCGTAATAAGATTGACCAAGGTGCTGTATTTTAACACACAAGCTGCCTGGTGGCTCAAATCATTGTACCATGGCGGGAAAAGGAACAACGTAAGAAGAAGCTGAGAGACGTATCAATAGACGTGGGATGGCATCGATGCGGGGTTCTGCAGCCCGAGCCGCTGGGAAGATGAGATGAACCTGGCAGCTCAAAACGGGAAGTTTCATGCAGACGCATCAAGTCAAGCTAGAATTCTTTTTCTAATGCGACGAGAGCGGCAATTTGTAGCTTGTTCCCCTCAAACAGCCACAGACATGCAGCTTTAGTAGCTGATGACAGAGTGTTGCGGCCCATGGTGGATCGGCCGGATTCTGAAATGTAGTGAGGATAGTGGCAGCAGTACGCAAAGGAGCATTGAGTACGAGAGCGGATGAGCATTCTGAATGGCAACGAGTGGCGGGCTCGGGAGATGAGGTAGGACCCGAGTATGATGGCAATGGGGCGGCTTGAAGTCAAATAAAGTGAGATATCCGCGAGGGAATTTCGGGATTGAAACGGATGAATCGGCGTCGAGATTGGGGTCGTAGCCAGGCCGGGTGGCTGCGACGGGACGGGGGTCGACCAGGATGCTGGGTGATGAAGCGGCCGCGGAACCCGACTCAGGCGATGGGGAAACGGGGCCATCTGCATCAAAGACAAGTCTGGTGGACACATTTAAAAGGAGCGAAACGGACGACTGCGCTCACTGTCTCATCAGTTACAGTATGGTGACTTGGCACAAGTCTACAGGGTAGCTAGTGGACATGAAAATGTGTCCGATAAGACTAGTCTGTGGTTGACATGCTCTTGGCTTGCGGATTGAAAGAAGAAGAGGTGCTCTGGACGTGGACAGCCAGAGATGGCAGATGATGGCGGAATCCCGCAGCCGAGATCCAAAAATAGGGGGGGCGCCTTCCGCCCGGATTCGCGTGGCAAGGCAGGCTGGCGCAGAGCAGCTGAATGTCGGCTGCCAGCTCATGAGGCGGCAGACTCCGAAACAACCAATTGCTATGAACAACTTGTCAAGAGTCTGCATTATGTACTGCGCATCCGTGATTACTTCTTCCCAAGGTTTTGGGCGTGAATGAAGACTGGGGTTTAAAGTTGATTGAGACAGGCGCGATAAATCTGTGGCAATTTCGCGGGTGCAGTCAGGATGAGGACGGGCGCATTTTCAGGGGCACTGAAGGCAGTTTCCTTTTCAGCAGGTGCGAACTCACAGAGTGGCGTCATGGTGGAGCGACAGGGACTCACTGCTGCACCTTCAAACCACCTAGTACTCAAGAGGTAATGAGGAAACATGGTTGACTGCCTACACTAGTACCTAAGCAAGATCGTTCATAGTACGTAGATGGGAGACTGGGAAAACGGCAGAGCAGCAACAAGAAGCGAGACGAGAAAGAGAAAGCTAAGAAAAAAAAAAAAAAATAAAAAAAAAAAAAAGCTTGACTTGACTCGGGGACTTGTCGAGACTCTGTTTTTCTGGGCGCTTTGCTTTGTAGCAGACATCCTTCCGTGGGTACGATTAGGCATGGGGGTTTCTCTCCTTTTGTCGTTCTCCATTTGCAGTGCAGTGCAGCGTGATGTCGTTTGGCGCCGTTGGTCGGTCGGCTTGGCTTTCGGGAGGCTACAGATCAAAAGGAAGTTGGTGCGAGGATACGGCATGGAAACGCAAGGGGGGGGGGGGGGGGGGGGGAGTCAAACGGGGCGGGCTTGGGTTGGGGCTACACGGCGTTGTGTACAGATAGCCGCTGGTGAAAGCAACGCTACACCTGTCGCGAATGCACATGCTCGTCGTTTAGATTTCACGCAGTAGAGGGAGGGAGGGGTTCATCTGACAGACGGTGCAGCGGCGCGCTTCTCCTTCTGCATCAGTCCCATTCTCCGGTCTGTCAAGTTGAGGCGAATTGCCAGCCTACCTAGTTTCCCTTTCTTTGCGGCCTGTGCCGTGTCGTATTGGCAGATTGCACCGTACTTGTACACTTCCATCGCATCGCGCCTGCCGTCTCGCCGTCCGTCCGTAATTAACCGAGCTCGCCTTACCGTCGCGAGCCAACCAAACGGCGCCAATCCAGCACAAGCACCGTCGCCCCTGTCGGTACGTACCTACCAGGCGAAGGTCACAGTGGTCCTTCTTTTTCCATCGGGGTGTCCACATGCCCACAGTCCACTGTGAGTGCCTTTCCCGCCCTGCTCGTGTTGGCAGTTTTAGGCCGCCAAGCTTCTCTGTGGCTTGCCTATTGGCCCATCCCGAGCATGGCTCTTTCCCTCCTTGATGCCAAGCGAGAGAAAACCGCATAGGAAGTGCAGGTACTTGAGAGGGTCCCCACTTAAAAGTTAACATTGAATTCAAAGTTTCCCAACCTAGCTCCTTTACCTCCAACACTGTGAGCATTCGTGGTGGGGGTCTCACTCTCACGCTCTCTCTCTCTCTCTATACAGAGAGTCCTTGAGGCGTAACGTCCGTGTATCAACCACAGAGCATCGACATCGTCAATTCTTGGCCCCCGGTCCCTGCCTGTTCCCATCAATGCGCGCGCCTGGCTCAACGCGTCAATGTGAAGCTGGATACCTATTTAGGTCCGTTTCGAAGGCAAACCCGAACGGACAGCGGGACCGAAGCATCCAGTACGGTGATATACCTGGGTAGGCAGCTGAAGCTAAACACTAAACTAAAGTATCCTGCCGTTTGGCCCGTCCACTCCCCCTTCTCAAGTTCTCCCTCTACACTCTACACATGCAGTGATAGCTCCCCACGCCATCCAAAACTCCAGGTCCCGCCGCCCCGGTCCTTTTTATTCTAGCGCAGGCCTTGGCTTTGGTGGCTCTTTTTTCATCTCCAAGAGGCTGCCTGCCGTGCCTGCCTACCTGCCATCCAAACCGCCTCAGTTCCTGCGTGTCATCCTCTTTTTCTCTTCCTTCGCTTCCGCCTCTTCGTCACTTTGGCTGGGTACCCTCTTCCTTGCTCACTCTCTCCCTCGCAAGCAAGGTCCAGCTCTAATCAATCCACTTGCGACGGCCCGTTTCCTCCTCCACGCATCTCGAGCTCGGCCGCACTCCTTGTCCGGGGCACCCTGTCTTCTTCTTGTTTCCGTCATCCATCCGTCCTCTCTTTTGGCTTTGCTGTTCTTTTTGCCCTCGACGTCCCTCGAGCTCTCTCTTCCTCCTCTCCAACGTCTCTCTCCGATTGCGATCGCGCGCGCCACGAGTACGACCCGATACCTCACGCTCTCTGTTCGGCGCCATACATAGTACCCGCCGCGATACCTCCTGTCTCACGCAGCGCTTCCCGCGACCGACCGATCGACTTGCACCACCGACCTCCGTTGTGCCCGTCGTTCCCGTCGGTACACCGTCCTAGACCCTGGGCAACACAGACAGATCATGGGCTTGACCCAAAGACGGCATGACGGTTTTGTAAATCCCATACTCGCTTCCAAAATGTTATCCCGCCGTGCCCTTACCGTCCTTGCGCTCGTCACCGTCACCGCCGTCGTCTTCCTCATTTCCTCGCGGAGACTCGGCGCCGACTGGGCCATCGAGGGTCCCAACTACCATCCATTCCAACAAGGCCATGGCCCGCCTCCTCCGCCAGGTCCGCCAGGAAGTTCACCAAGCGCCGGTCCCGGAGGGCGTCCTCCCCCACCCGGCCCGCCGCCTCCCGGAGGCAAGCCCGACAAGCCCAGCGCCGAAGATGACCGCCAAGCGCAGCATAACGTGACGAACCAAGACATCCCTTACCGTCCTCACGATCCCATCTGCGACACCTTCCCCGACACGAGCAACATTCTCGTCATCATGAAGACGGGCGCCACCGAGTCCTTCGACAAGGTCCCGACCCAGCTCATGACAATGCTCAAGTGCTTGCCCGAGTTCTTCATCTTCTCCGACCTCGACCAGACCATTGCCAACTACCATATCCGGGATAGTCTCGACAGCGTCCTGCCAGAGGCCATGGACGGCAACAAGGACTTTGACCTCTATCGCCGCCAGAAGGCCTGCCAAGCCGACCAGCAGAGCTGCAACAAGCTTGCCGTGTCCAAGGATGAGGGATGGAACCTCGACAAGTACAAGAACGTCCACATTGCCGAGAAGACATATCACATGCGTCCCAACTACGACTGGTACGTCTACATCGACGCCGACACCTACGTCCTGTGGCCCACGCTTGTTCAGTGGCTCAAGAAGCTCAACCCCAAGAACAAGCACTATCTCGGCAGTGTGACTATGATTCGTAACTTTATCTTTGGCCATGGTGGCTCCGGCTACATCATCTCTCAGGCTGCCCATCGCGACATGATTGCTGGCAAGGAAAAGGTTGGAAACCAGTGGGACGTCCGCGCTAGCAAGGAGTGCTGTGGTGACTACATCTTCGCCCTCGCCATGAAGGAAAACGCGGACGTGGACGTTCATAATGTGGTAAGTATTGATTGCCCGCTTTCAACCGCGCGCGCAACCTTCTGATCCGTCGCAGTGGCCCACGATCAACGGCGAGAAGCCCTTCACGCTGCCCTACGGACCGACGCACTGGTGCCACCCCATCGTCACAATGCACCACATGAATGCCGAGGAGATCTCGACCTTTTGGGAGTTCGAACACGAGCGCTACGCCGACCCAAGCCTGCCGAGCCCGCCCCCCGTCATGCGCATCAAGGACATTTACCACCGATTCTTCGCCCCGAAGATGATCCCCGAACGCGCCGATTGGGACAACCTCGCCGACGATCGATTCTACCTCGACGAGGCGGCCAACAAGCACGACGATACACAGCTTAGCCGCGCCAAGCTGGACGACCTGTCGCCCGAAGAGAAGGAAGCGCACAGGTCCTTTGGCCAATGCCGCAAGGCATGCGAAGCCGACCAGAACTGCTTCTCCTTCCAATACAGAGACGGCGTCTGCGGCTTCAGCTGGGCCTTCAAGCTTGGCCACCCTGTCCGGAAAGAGTCCCAGGAGGAGAAGCGCCGCATGTCCGGCTGGGACGTTCGCAAAATCAACTCCTGGATCGAGAAGCAAGGCGAGTGCGGACCCGTCAAGTGGCCCGATGTCTGAGAGATCAAAACTCGACAAACGAGACGCATGCCGATCGTCGCCGGAGATCACCCGTGAGGTTCGACGACGATGGGTTAAGATTGGCAGATTCGAGAGACGACTGCGAGGTTACGACTGCCATCCAAGGCTCGAGACGTGACGTATGTTTCACGTGGGTCCCTATACCATGTCTCAGGGCGCCAATGTCTTGGATACACCAAAGCGGACTGTCTTGGAAACGGCAGGGGAAAAGAAAACGGTTTCTCCCCCAATTCTGAATTTCCCTGGTCTCGCACTACGGTTTCCGTCAAAGAAACCGATCGACAACGAAAAAAAAGCCACCCGGCTCGGCATATAGAATTTCCCAGCCCAAGCGTGTGTGTATGTGTGTTTTATTTTCTGTATGTACAACTATTACGAAGACGGCGGCAAGAGTCCTTGGAAATGCTCTGGCGTTCACATTGGAAAGACTTTTGTTTTTATTGGAGACGGTGTCTTTGGCTAGCAGACTGGAGCAGGGAGGGGGCCGGGTTCGTTCAGCTGGGCGCCAGACGCCGATGCTCCTGATAGAAAAAGCTCTTTTGGGTACCGATTTACTATCTTACGTACATATATTCCGATTCGCATATCATATCCTCATTCTACGACGTCCTTCCTTTCTGCGTGCGTGCTGCCTGTCGTTCGACTTGACGTGTAAGCTCTCCCGGCTGACCGGGAAAGAGCGAAGGTTTCAGATGGCAACCGGCGACTTTCTTGACTCAGGCCTTGAGACACTAGACAAGGCGGCCGCGACCGATATGGTACAACCTTGCACACGACTCTCTGCTCGCCCTGTCGACTCTGGAACGACGGTTCATCCGGCATTCTGTGTGCTATTTCTGGCTTCCGCTGGCTGGAATGCTGATCACTTGAAAAGAAGTTGCGGGGGTTTGATGCGGCACTGATTCAATCTGAGAAAGAATGACGACGGAACGGACGCAATCATGGTGGTGATCATAACATCATGAATTATCTATTCCTTGTTTTGCTTTTTTCTTCCTGTCTCCATCCCTGTAATACCTTTTGGTCTTATTTGCTCATCAACTCTGCGCCGCTGCGAATGACGCCGACCACGGCACCCGTCTGCACGGCTTCGCTGCCTCCACCCGCAACGCGGTGCTCAATGTCCGCCAGCCCGTCAAGCCACTTGATCATCACCTCTGACTTGACCTCCAACGTGGCCAGCTGCTCCGAAACCGCCGTGATAATGTCCGCCAGCGCCAGGCCCCGCGACACCTTTAGCGAGTTGATGGTCGTCAAACAAGTAGTTACGTCGGTCGTGCTCAGGAGGGTGTCGAGGATCTCTTGGATGGCATCGGGCTGCGGGGCGGCGATGCAGTTGTATATCGTCTCGGTCGTGATTGTCTCTCTGACGATTTCGCTGTCGGGGACCTTGGGCTCGTCCTTGGTTCGGAGTGGTGTACCTTGACATGTTAGCTTGCAAAGGATACGGCTGCACGCTACTGCTTACTTGATGCATGGCAGGCCTGAAGCACGTTCAGCGCCCGTCTCATGTCTCCCTTGCTCAGCTTTACCAGCGCCTCTGTCGCCTCGGACATGATCTTGACGTGCTCCTCCTCAATGACCTTATCCACCAGAACCCTGATATCACGCTCCTTCAACGGGCTGAACCTGAACCGCGTGCATCGCGACAGCAGCGCGGGCGACAGCTTGTGGGAGTAGTTTGCAATGATGCAGAACCGTGTGTTGACCGTATACTTTTCCATGATGCGGCGAAGAGCCATCTGGGCCGTGTTGGTCATGGCGTCGGCTTCGTCGAGGATGATGAGCTTGTACGACGCCATGCCGCCCGCCTTGGCGGCGGGGCCGAGAGTGAAGATTTGCTTTGTCGAGGCAAAAGTCTTGATCTGCTCGCGCACGACGTCGATACCACGGTCGTCGGAGGCGTTGAGCTCGAGGACCATCTGGCGCATGTTCTCGGCGCCGTAGATGCGTCGGGCGAGGGCGAGGATCGTGGAGGTCTTGCCCGTTCCCGGGGGCCCGTAGAGGAGGAGGTGGGGAAGGCGGTTGGAGTCAACAAACTTGTTGATCGTGGCGAGGATGTCTTGGTGGCCCGAGACGTCATTCAGGTTGACCGGACGGTACTTTTCGACCCAAGGCAAGCTGTCTTCGGCTTCGACGGGGAGGTTGGCGGCACTGCGTTTGCCCTGCTTGGCATCGGACGAGAAGGTGATGTCTTTGGACGCCGGAGCATCGACGTCCATTTCATCTTCGTAGTCAGACATGGCGACAATTTGAGATGGAAGATGGTCAATCTGGAGGTCCGGCGGTGTCGAGCGAGTACAGCAAAGGAGACCACCGTACCTACGGACGTAGCTGGGCGATTTGGTGCGTGATGCAATTGAAGCATCGAGACGCGTTGCGACGCGTTAAGGAATTGGAGCGCACGTGACCACTTAAAGTGCTGGTCCCACCTACCGCGACCGTGCGTGTTGTCGCGAAAACACTGTATGACATGCACTGTCAGGGGCACTTTGCACAGCATCATGTCAGGTTCGTTGTTCACCTGTGAAATCGTTTATCGGCGTTCCGAGTGTGCAACTCTTCCTTCATTATATCTTAGACTTTAGGACAAAATAGTGGTGTCAAATGTGTAGACATATGGAACTACGACGTTTCTGGCATGTTGAAGCTCTTCCTGCTTACCTAAACTTCCGCATGTTCGAAACCTGGGTGGTGCCGTGGTTGAGTTGGGAGACATGCTAGTGCTATATCATAAGGTGCAGTCTCACCAGCGGGAATTCGATAGTCATTCATCAGAAAGCTCACAGTTCCCTGTTGTAATCCTCATTACGTAAACGATGTACTGTTTGAACATCGGAGAGACAATGCCACGGGACGTTTACGAGTTCCCCCACTTTGAGGTATGGATGCCATTGCTCTTCACCCCTTCAAGAATCTCAGCTCACACCCCATCCTGTAGGATTGAAGCTCGGCACCAGCGGACAGGTGCAGCTTCCTTTTTCGCAATGCTCGTATCCTCAAGACTCAATTGAAGAGTTCGGTTGAACGCGGACCGAGTAAGAGCCGTTCATAGCTTGCTTGTAGTTGGGGGGACCTAGGCCAAGGTGTCACGATGTCACATCCGCCACAAAGTTACCACTCAAGGCCCATTGAACCCTGTAAAACCAAGGCTTTGGTCCCTCAATTTTGTAAATGGCGGAGTCGGGCTCGGCCTCGCAGAACCCCTGGCCGAGGGGACACCAGATATTCAAAGGGAAAAAAAGTTTATGTCAACTCCCGCCCATCCTCCCACCGCCTTTCATCTCATTTCTCCCACCCGAACCGTCTCACTGCTTATACACAGTTCGCTCGTACCTCGAAAACCGAGGGTCTTACTCGTCAACTCCTCGTCCCATCTCATTCTTGCTTTCCACGCCATCCGCGGTAACCTCAGATTACAATGGCCACTCCCGTAGTAGAGGCTGCCCGGATTCAGGACGCGCCCGCGCTCGCCGAATTATTCTTCAAGTCTTTCAATGATGAGTTTTTCCAGACTCTGTTTCCTCAAAATGAGTTTGGACGAGACTACATGACCAAGGCGTACGAGATGTTCATGCGTTCCAAAGAGAACCATAGCCAAGAGGGTCAAGTCTACGTGATAAGAAACGATGAAGGTAGGCGGATCTACGGGATATCCACTTGCCCCATCTCCGAATCCCGCTTCCGCTTCCTTCCCGCAACCCACCCCGCAAACGCGGGAGACTGGGGATACCGAGTGCCCGCCAAAAGGTACGTCTCCAAAGACTGACAGCAGTACGTCGCAGGTGAAGTCGTCGCTTCGTGCCTTGTGTGGATTATTCGTCCCGAGGACAACGGAACCTGGTCCTGGCGGAAGCGCTGGCCTGCCGCGAATGCAGGCCAGAAGGATGAGCTTCTCGATCAATTCTTCACCGACATGGCCCTTCAACACGACCAGAACATGGGAAAAGATGCACACGTCTGTAAGTTGATGAAACTCACCCCACAACTCACCCCACACGTGCAGTTCAAACAGGGTATGCATGCTAATGACAAGGACCGGTAGACTTTGAATTGATCATGACGGACCCTGCTCACAAGCGGAGAGGTTATGCTCTCGCACTCCTCCAACACGCCTCCGAAATTGCGGATCAGCTGGGTTATCGGATGTACCTCGACTCCGACCAGGATGTCGTGCCGCTCTACGAACGCGTCGGGTATGTTGTTCGCGGCAGTGCGGGCAAGGCTTCACTCATGGTTCCTATGGTGAGACCAGCGAAAGTACAAGTTTCTGCACAAGCATAGATCGACACTGAGATTCGCATGGCTGTTTTCCATAAACCATTCTGTTCTGAGCTATGTACCCAAGTGCCCGGCGTGTAGCTCCCCACCCGGAGGGCACGTTCTGTGGCTAGTATACATCAGACGGAAGTCCAAACTGGCTTCGATTTCATTCGCTCGCTATCGCTCCAATGCTTCGCTTTTCTCTTTTGACTTTTCATCTCAAGTCTACGTTTTTCATCGCCTCCTTCTCGTTTCCATAGGGAGGCGAGGCACCCCAGTACTGCCGGACTCGCTGATCCGGCCGGGAGTTGTTGTACCCCTGGCCCGTCTCCATTGAAGAGTACATGGACGGCCTCATAGGGCGTCGGGGAGTCCTCCCGTCATCCATCTGAACATAGAAGTCCGTGATGTCCGGATACATGGTGGGCTCACGCTCAGGGCGTGGAGGCGGTGGTCGGAAGGCGTCGATGAGTGTTTGCCGTCTAGTGATTCTCCTGGGTCTCTCCGGGAGAGGCGTCTGTCCTAGACGTGATCCATTCTCCGAGTCGCCGCCAGCCACCACGGTGGCATCATCCGAAGAGCCGTCTTTGAGGTCCTTCTTTTCGTCCTCCTCCTTCTTGGCTGCAAAGAAAATTGCGAACACCATCTCCATGTCTTCCGGACCCTTCCTCTCGCGCATGATTTGATGTGGAACATCAAGATCATCAATGAGGCGCTCGATCTCTTCAACAGAGTAGTTGCCCTTGTCTCTGTCGCCGGAGTAGTCTCCTGGTCCAATGGCCCCGTTCGGAACATGAAATCGTAGGTCAACTCTGCCGAATGCGTATACAGCCACAACAAGCAGCTCGAATAAGAAGCCCGTCGTGTAGAAGACCGCCTTGCCATAGATGACACTGTCCGTTCCAGGCGGCTCTTTGTTGACCAAAGCATAGACACGAATGGCATGTCCAGTCATCAGGAGAAATGAGCCAAAGAATAGCAATGCGACCTTGACACGCATCGATCCTGTACCAAACTTTTCCGGCTCAGGACCAGGGATACAAAGACATCCTGCCACCACAATCACCGGAAAGGCGGCAAGGAACATGTTGTATCCAGACCCAAACTTGATCAGATCATCTGTCGCTTCAAGCCGATCGAGATTGCCAACGCTAAAGAAACTGATAATCAAATTGACGCCATTGAATAGGATGAAGACTGGGACAGAAAATAGCAACAGTAGGAACGTCTGGCTAGCTGCAGTACACCATCCTGCTTTTGGGTGTATGGAACGGAGCAGGCGCTGGGCAAAAAAGATGTTTACTGCAAAGAGCAGCGCGGCACTGATTTTGTTAGTCATATTCTAACTCATCTCAGTGACAAAGTGAGTACTCACCCGCCGTTCTCGGTGATCAGCGCCACAAGAATGACACCACGCGTTGTGACAATTGACCATGTAATTCGAAAAATACAGGTCACAGTCCGAAGCATACAAAAGTCGAAAATGATATCCGAGATCAAAAACTTGTGTCCTCGCTTCGCGTTGGCTCTGTAGATGCTGATGTGAACGTATGCCCCTAGCATGAACAGAAGCATGAACATGATTGTGACAGGAAGGTCAAGATTCTTTGTTGGTACGCCACCCGGGAAAGCTCCGTTGGCTGGATCAGGGGGTCCCATTGGAGGACCTCCAGCAGGCGGGCCAGCCTGAGCCTGCGGATTTGGCGGCGGCCCTCCACCTCTTCCTGAACCAGGGCTGCTCATGACGGGAGCGAGCACCGGAGGTGGGGGGGTTTGGTTTATTAGGGTAGTCGCTGGAGGCGAGGATGACTCTTGAGCGGGAGGAGGGACAAGTCCAGGCGCCGGAGGAGGTTGAGGTACTGGAGACGCAGCTGCGAGCTGAGGAGTTGTCTTTGGAGTTACTGAGGACTGTGACAAAAGAATAGGCGCTGCTATTGAATCGGGATTGGCGGCAAGAGGGGCTGCATTAGGAGGTCGAGGAGGTGATGGTGGCTCTTTTGGGGGCGGCGGTGGTACTGGAGGAGGAGGAGGAGGAGGAGGAGAAGGAGGAGGAGGTGGTGGTTGTGTTTGTGTGACAGTTACGACGGCGGGCGGAAGTGTCTTTACCGTCGTATAGATGATGTAGTTTGTTTCAACGATGACTTGCGGAGGTTGGTTCTGTACAGCAGGTAACGGTGCACCATTAGGGTTAGAACCAGCTACTGTTGCTACGGCCGGCGCAACGAAGGCTCTCGAGGTTGCTGGTGAGAGTGCAGCTGGAATCAATGCTGGTCTGGATGTCGATGCGTCTGCTGGTCTTGCACCTTGCTGAGCAAGATTGAACCCTTGTGCGAGAAAAGGGGACACAGCAGATAATAACTCGGCAATGCCAGCCATGGTTGTGTGTAATACGAGACGTTCCCGTCCGTAGTTCCCGTTCGGTTGCCTGAATCAGGGATGCGGAAGAACGGCTGGATTGTGGAGACAGTCGGAGTTGGGATCGATGGGAAAGGAAGGAGGATTGCAGAAGCAAAACAAGAACGAATATGCAGGGTCTCAGGTGAGAGAATATGGGGCCCAGTGTCTATGTGCCGGTATGCGTGTTCCTAATGGTCGGTGGTGACTGAACCCGGTGCTGCATGGCGCCTCATCTGTGGTGACGAAGTGAATGCACCAAAGCAGTAAGCGGGTCCTCCTCGTAGTAGTAGACAGGTCCAGCTGAAAGGGCTCAAAGGGAGGTAGGTAGTGATGGAAGAGAATTCGGTCGACCGGACTGGCAAAAGTGCGATGCGTATACCGCAATGGGTAGAGTAGTCATGGGGCTGAACCCAGGCGAATACGGATCGTTGTAGGGCTGTTGAGGCTGTACGGCTATGACGACAGCACATATGTCGTAAATGGGACCTGTATTTACTTGATCTGAGTTGATTGACTGCCAATTTTCTCAGCGTGCTCGTTCGTGGAAGCAACAAATCGTTATTGATGAGGCTTTGGATTGAAGTCGTTTCGTTAGCTAGTGGTGCTCTTGTTCGTTTTCTTTTTTGGCCAAAACTGCAAAAACGAAAACAGGCGCAAAGTGCCAGTGACACCCTTATTAGAGCCATTTCGATCCCATCTCATCAGCCTTTTGGCGCTCCATCCTTCTCCCTCTTCTCTTCATCCCACCCTATCGCAGACCCATCGATGCCACTCAAGTACGACGATGGAACAACGCCTCAGCGGCGGGCCGGTATTAGGAGTAGAAGTTGACTCTAGACTTTCCGCCGAGTTTCCCACTGAGGCAGGTCGAAGGAGGAGGTTCGGCGCCAAACCGTTTCAGGAGCCGTTGGGGAACATCGAACCATTTCCACTTCGGGAGCAGAGGCGCGGGCTCCAGCCTCTTCTAATCGCAACGACTTGCCACCAAAGGGGCAATCAGCTCAAAAGCTCACTTTTCATCCCGTCTTTGCTGAACTGTCGTGTGTCTGTCCTGCCTGTCGCCGGGCTGTCTCTGCATGTGTCCAGGCTGTCTGGGGCGTCTGTTAGCACCCATGGAGGTTGCGAGCCAATGCGACCCATTCTGACGGGACTGTCAGCCTGATGCGGTAAGTTCCTGTCATTTTGACTCGAGTCCACAACGGTCGTCTCCCCTATTGTCAAAAGAGTCTCGGATAGTGCGAGGAATGCGAGCCCGATCATTGCGGCTGTTGCGGCTGATGTCCTATTTACGGCCCGTCTTCTTGGGTACGATCTATCTTCCGTTCCACCGTGTGGCTCCTCTCTGGTGGCTCCCGATTCTCCCCATCATCCACCTGTTGTGGTAATCGTAAGCAGATGGCCAGTGTTTCGATCCATTTAGACGCCCGACATGCAATGCGATTCGCCTTTCAGAGAGCCAGCAGCTCCATGGTCTAAGCAGGGAATCGACTGAAAGCTGTGAGCTTCGCCTACACCCTCCGAAAACCGCCAGGCAAGGTGTATTGATTGATAGGGAGAAAAACTACTGAAGCAGGAGCCAATCTTGCAGAAACGTCTTGCCATGTTGTCCGAGCTCTCTGGGGCCAATTGCGTAATGTGCACCTACTGCAGGCACGAACGTTGCCCTGCATGCTTGTCAAGGACTGGCGATGATCCCGAAGCCATGAGTGATGAATCGAATCCCGCTGTCTGAGACTTTTCAAAGGCGGGGTTGGATCTTTCTTTCGCCGCGGATATCGGATTTGCTTCTCGGCCGTTGCATGCGTCTTTACTCTGTTACCTCAGCCGCATCATGCGTCGGTCTCGGTGAACAATTTTCTCCCACCGGAAGTGAACACATCTGTAAACATCCACTGGCGATGAGAATCACAACACCATGCCTGCGGCGATCTGCTTTTCGCTAGCTTCAAGCTTAAATCACGCCGCGTGCAGGATCGCAAGGTAGCCATTGCACCTTGTGCTGCAAGGCCCGCGCATATGCCGGGAGAGGGTGGGATTGCTGCCACTCCGTAATATGATCGCCCATTAAGGCCCCCTGATCCTGACGCGGATCGGCCCAATACCTCTCTATCAACGCTTTCGGTTTCGTACTATGATACTTGAAAGTGTTGTACAAGACATCAGATTTCTCTTCGGATTTTGGAACATTTTTGACATCTCCGCACAAACCTGTCAGCCCTCCTAGGCGGCCCGTGGAGGGGTTCACAGAATGATCTTGGGGAGCGGTGAAGACTCGTAACCCGAGCTAGGTATAGAGTTAGAGTGCCTAAGTGATACACATGCCATGCGAGGGGGACAGCCAGAGCCAAACTATGGCCAATTCGTCGGAAGCAATCGGACTCAGGGTATCCTGGCAATTGCCCACATTCCGACAAGACCTCTGGGAACTACTGCGGCAGAAAAACACCTGGACAGGCCCGTCTAAGGTTACCCCGAACAATGGAGAAGAAACGTCAGGGTCCGACATCTGTCATCAGCGTGGCTTGCTCCCGCTGTCGAGTCCACTTCTCGAGTCCGAATTCCGCTTTTACGTACGCCTGAGACAGTCAGCCCCGGACTGATGTAAGGCGGAACGGGTTTCGAAAGATTGCGCAGCTGAGGCTGCCTCGAACCGGCCGAACATCTATCCAGTGGGGACGGAATGACTTCAACACATCTGTCGTTGGGAACGAGTATGAGGATCCAGCGGGCCGGGAAAACTGCTGAACCTGGAGGCCTTGCTAGGCATATGATGTAGTGTGGATTGACATGTTCAGTCTTTCTCCCCGACCTTCTCTTCAGAAGGGCGGATCGCGTCGAACCCTGACCCTGGTATCTGGTCTCAGAAGGCACCACACCACACCATCACCATAATTGACATGGGTAATGGCCTTCCGGCAGATCCCGCACAAAGGCAGGAATAGCCACAGCCACGCTTGTTTCCTGACTTGGTGGTTCATTCGAGGCTGTGTCCAACACGATGTTTCCCTACTGAGCGGAAAGGACGAGTCGCGATAGCTTCAGCGATTTATCAGATGTTTTGAGACAACAACCCGGGCGGTAAGTCACACACATTTGCGTCTTGGAAGACGCAGCGTTGGCCGGCCTGGTCATTTCGTAGCTATCCTACAATACTCGTAAGAAGTTATATTTCGACGCATTATCGCAAGAAGTCCAAGATGGTACGCGATTTGTCCAATATCCTCCCGATGCGTTGGTCACAGTAGGTGTGACCACTGGATGTGTCCATTCTTTGTACAATGCGATACCGAGTTGGAGCCTACGGATTTTCCGATTCCAAAGACGGCAGTGGCATCTGCCTGCAAACGAAATCCTGAAGCGGAGTTGGTAGCCAGTCTCGAAGAGTCGGCTTTTTCAGCTGCTCCCCACGGGGTGGACGTTGTGCCATCCACCGCAGACTGAGAAGGTATCCGGGATTCTCGGATTGTCCTCGCAGAATTATTCTGCCTGACAAGCCCGGCAACTGTTTTTCTGGTTATCTGTGCCGAGACCGAGTAGGTTATGTGTCTTGTCATGTCTGTCAGTTCTCGTGGGTTCGAACGCGTCAACAAACAGCACCATCAGATGAATCGGCAAAACCGACAGCAACTGACTCTGACTTTAAGGAAGTTCCGTCATCTCACATACGTACGCAGTCTGAAGGTCTGAGAATATGACCACTGCCGCTCCTGCCTCGGGCCAACCCGAAAATGCCGAATAACATCCCGAACACGTGAAGCCGTATTCGGCCGCCGACCAGCATTGAACGCAGAGCATCTCATCATCTTTTCCTCCCATCGCGCCGTTGGGCGGAAATCTTATTCGGGATGCGAACGCTTCATCGCGCCTAAAGAGACGAAAGATGATTGCCGTTCTAGGCCGGCAGCTGCACGAGCTTAACCCCGATGGGTGGTTCTGGCCTGAGAGAACCTAAGCTGCTAATGCAGCAGCCGTTAGCTCTATTCTCGGCGCGTCACTAGTGATTTGTGACACACAAACTGCCAAGTTTATTGAGAAACGAGTTGCTGACAGCCGGCACGCTAATCCTACGACACTTGTGGAGGGAACCACAGGAATAGGACGGAACTTCCCTCTAATGTCCCCCCTGCGAAGATCTTCAAATCAAAAATAAAACGTCACCTTCCTAGAATCCATAGAATTGGGAATAATACGTTCCGCTCCCAGCGTGATTCCAGAGAATAAGTGCCGCTCGTCCGCCGTTCCAAACCGGAAGGCTTCTAGAAAGCGTCCATACGAAAGGCGCCTTTCCTAAAACGGTGGTCTGTTGCGTTGGTTAATAGGTGACCAGGTTTCAGAAACACCTATCGTCTTCGCATGGAATTCCGGTTTCACGCTCTCAGTTGGGAGCGACGCTTGGGCTTACCGTTTCGTCTGATGTTCCTCTCTCGCATCTTGTCAACAACAATTCGCACTCGCAATGACCGCCAACGGGGACGTATGCCGAACTGCGTTGACAGCTTCCCAACCCAAGGTTCGACAGGCCGGGTTCGACGGCACGCCGAACAGACATGAGGTGGGCTCATCTGCCATAGCCTCCCTTCATGTCCCATCCCCCCCCTTCATCCGCCAGCACATCATTCAGTTGTATGCTTTGATCGAGCTGTCTTCTGCTCCTCCTACACCTCAAGCTTCTCCAATTCTCCCCCAACCATGACTCGCAACGTCATCGCAGGTGCCATGTAACCCGGCGACGTCTCTCTCAATCAGCAGAATACCACCAACAAAACGAGCGGGGCGCTGGTTTTAGAGTTGAAACATATTATCGTTCACTTGCGGCTTCTTCCATCTTCTTCTGCCCACGAGGGGGACAGATCCGCCGGTTCCCACGCAGTCCACAACTACAAGCGTCCTCGGCCGCTCTGACACATGTCTGGCCCTGTCTGCCCATTTTCCTTTTATTGCCGTAGGGAAGCACGTCCGCCTCCTTATTCCTCCCAGAATTTCCTACTTTGATAGGGGTTTCGCCCACATGACACACGGTCTGTCAAAACTAAACCCGTACACGTCGACCGGCATTGGAAATTCGGGGTCACTGCACAGAAGACTTTCCATCTTCCTCAACCCCACGCGCGAAGACGGACATAGAGACGCGCGTTACCACGGTACCATTGCATACTGCATCTCCCAGACAGGAACATGGTCAACACGGGACACCCGAGCAGGGCATGCAAGCTCTGCCGAGCGAGGAGAATCAAATGTGACGAGACCAAGCCATTTTGCTTGAAGTGCGCAAAATCAAAGAGAGTGTGTCCTGGGTATCGCGACGCATTCGAGATCAATCTCCGCGATGAGACGCAATCAACTATTCGAAAAGCCAAATCGGCAGCTTTGAGGAAAGCCATAAGGGAGGGACGCGCAACGGAACAGGACGCGGAGAATGAAAGTCCAAGTCAAAGCCAGAGTCAGAGCCAGAGCCAGAGCCAGAGTAAGGCGAAGGTACAGGAATGGACGCCGCCGGCACCACCACCGCCTCGAAAACAGCAAATTGTCGCCATCCCCGAAGACGATTGGTTCGACCGACACTCCATGTCTTCGGGGTCTTCCGACGTATCACCATCCATGTCCTACGCCTCTTCGCTTTCGTACATTAGTAACCAGGCACCAGATACGTTTGTGTCTTTCAAGGAGTTGGAAGGTGGGACTTACGGGATGCCGCAAATGTTGCAGACACCGCTCGACCAACAGGCCACCTGCTTCTTCCTCGCAAACTACGTGCTCGCGCCTCCGACTGGTGTGGGCAGAGGAATCCTCACATTCGTGCTCCCGTTGTTGAATATCCCGAGTTACCAGTATTCTCCGCTACAATCGGCATTTTCCGCAGTGTCAATGGCAGCTTTGGCAGGAAGACCAAACTCGAGACGACTGTTTTCGATGGCACATCTCCATTACAGCAAAGCACTCGAAGATTTGACGCGAGCAATGCAAGACAAGGTTGCTGTGAGACAAGACACGACTCTTGCGTCTGCAATCTTGCTTGCGTTTTATGAAGGTCTTGTGTCAGATGACGTGGAAATGTCGGGATTCAAGAAGCACATCTCGGGAGCAACGGCTATTGTGAAGCTCCGCGGACCTCAGCAAACAGCGACTGGTGTGGGATTGAGCATGTTCGAATTTGTGCGAGCAACATCGGTAGGTCCTCATACGTGAAAAGCTTCATGCCCCTTTTGCTGACACACTCAGGTCCGACAATACACGTTCTTTGCAAACATCTCGCTGGAAGATTTGACGTGGTGGGCGCGGCAAGCAGTCTGCGATACCGTCGGTCATCAGGCTCTCGTCTTGAACCTCCAGACTACAATGATTCGTGCGGAAGCCGACAGTCTGCTGAAAGGCGCGAGGACAACCGACAAAATCGACAAAGCTCTGAAGCTGCTCCAACGAGCTCGGAAAATGGACGACGAACTCGGGATGTGGTTCGACAAGTGTCCGCCAGCTTGGAGAAAGGGCATCTCGGGCTCCGCGATTGACGTGCCTGATGACAAGATTGGCCTTGTTTCAGCGTTCCCCGGGCCTATTTACGATTATCCTAACGTTTGGGCTGCAGGAAAGCACATCAACACCCACGTCTCTAGGTTGCTGCTTAACCAAGTCATCGTTCGCTGCATCGCGTGGGTATGCGCACCGAGCGACCACACCTTGACCAAGGAGTATATCGACGCCAATAAGATTGGCAAGGAGCAAGTCGCAGACATCATCTCGAGCACACCGTACTTCTTCGGGTGGACGGGTGATGCCCTCAGCACCCCGTACTTTCCCTGTGGGACGTCAGAGATGCCCAAGGGTCTAGCCGGCATCTCTTGTATGTGGCCACTTTTGGCAACTGGTTCGAGCCGATTTGCCACCAGAAGGCAGCGCATGTACGTCAAGGCCCGTCTTGCAAAGATTGCAGAAGAGATGGGCATCCGCCAAGCCGATGTTTTTTCAAAGGTAAGAATCACGGGTTTCCCCCAAGGTTTGCTGTGACAAGCCAGCTAACAAGAACAGCAAATTATGCTAGGTGCGCCGGAACCAGACCCAGCCAACAGTTATTGCCCTGACACTTATCTTCATTTACGTACATAGCTTAGCGTTGAAGAATCATACCCCTTTTGCGATGTGAATGGGCTTCGTTCTTTTCTAGACCACTATTTTGCTGTCCACGGCTGGGATTTTCATAGTGTCCACCGAGGCAAGGTTGTTGAGTTGTCCCGGAAGTGCAGCGATGCCATGTTATTGTAAATAAGACTGAAGCTGTCGCCACGGAAGTCGTCTTTCAAGTACTGTGTGCGATCGCTGAAGAACCAAAGAAGCTGGTGATCCTCGCTCCACTCTGGCCACTTCGCATAGCCGCCTGTACCGGTGTTGGGATCCTGATTGTACAGAAAGTTGAGATAGTACGTCCTCGTACTTTGCCTCGCAAACGTCGGCAATACCCCGAGAAAAACCTGCACGATGTCCGACGCGTGAAAAGTGCCTAGAAGAGGAGTTCCGTAGCTGTAGCTGTTGAGATACGACCAAACCGGAACCGAAGGATATCTTGTCTTGGCTGCGTACAAATACGAGCGTCGAGCTAGTGTAAATACGAGATCGCCCAGAATGGCCGCTCTTCGTTTGAATCCAGGGTAGATTTCGTTCAGGATGCCTGTTCTGAACGGACTCCCCGACGAAATCCGGCGGTCGTAGGTGCTGACAAGGGTATTCAATTGGTCTCTAGACGCGTTGTCGAAGTAAAGATCGGACAAGTAGTCGACTAGTTGGGAAGTTGTCGCGACTGTAGGCTGAAATAAGGCAAAAAGCGTGCCCTCATCTTCTTGGTTCCCGATGATCATGGGCACAGCCGCGTACCGCCCATCCCTAGCCAGAATGTCGGGACTATCTCTTAGAACGACACCATCCGGTCTTGGGACGTATGCGAGAGCGAGCGATTCGAACGACAGAATACTCGGTACAGAAGCAGCCGCTTTCAGGAAAGTTTCGTAGCTAACGGATCGAAGACACTCCAGTGTATTGACAGAATCAGAACAACCAGCAGCTCGCGCCACAGTATCGTAGACAAGCTGCCCTTTGGGGCAAACAACAGGGTCTGCTGGGACAACACTTCCGGAGTTCATGATTGCTCCACGAAACAACGGTCGTCCATTGTACTTGTTATCGCCATCGTACAGGGCCATCTGATCGAACACCGAAATTGCGCCGGCTGATTCGCCCCAGATAGTCACTCTGTCTGGATCACCCCCGAACGCATCGATATTAGTCGCGAGCCATTCCAGAGCCATCCGTTGATCCAGAAGCCCGAGATTCGCGGCGCCGTCCTGGAGGATTTCTCTTCCGGGAAGAAAGCCGAAGCCTCCTAGACGATAGTTGACCCCAACGAACACGAAGGGCTGCTTCAAGTCGATCGCATCGCGAACAAAGCTAGCGCCGTTATAAGAAGCTGTCGATCCAAATTCGAAGCCTCCTCCAAAGATCCAGAACATTACGGGCAACTTAGAGTTTGGTGTAGTACCAGCCGGTCGTTGGACGGTCACCGTCAGACAGTCTTCCTGGCCGGTGATGGGCTGGAATATCGGAAGCGTGAGCAGCGATCCGAGGGCATCGAGGATGATATTGCGACTGTCGGTAGAGAGCACAAACTGTGGACAGGCGGCAGCGGTACCAGACGCGTCGAACGTCCCTAAAGAGCCGTTGAGCCTCTGAGGGGGCTTCAGCCGTAGCGGACCGATGGGCGGCTTGGCGTAGGGAATACCGGCAAATGTCTCAACAGAGCCAAACGTTCGTCCACGAAAAATGCCAGCCCCGGTATCGACGGCAGGTTGGGCAGCGCGTGGACTGTGTTTGTAGTTCTCGGGGTTGGCCGCAACCAAGGGCGAAAGCACAAAAGATGCCAGTATCAACATAGAGAAAGACTTCATCCTGGCGGCAGGTTGCAAGGGTAGCTAGAGATGGACAGGTGTCGCGATGTTGGATTTGGAGAGGAAACGTGCCGTATTTGAGCAAAGCAAAGGGCCAAGTATTCCAACAGAAGAAACATCGTCGTCGGTCGTGGGTCGAGGAGCGGTCTCCCTCTCAAGGCCGCTGGTTCCCCGACCGCATAAGACATTGTCTTGTAGAGACAGCGTTGCAATGGTGCTTCCGCCCGCTGATTCGGCCACGGCTACTAAGGGCAAGCGCGGCGGGGGGTGAGGCTCAACTGGAATAGTCTCGCGAAAGACAAGCACGTGAAGGGATCAAGTCCAATCGGCGGGCCGCTGATCGTGTGCCTCCCGAAGAATAAGAAAGCGCCTAGCGTGGGTGACGGCGCTGTCATCTTGTGATTTGCAGATCTGACAGGCGACTGGCTGCGCTCACACACCACCGCGGACAGCTGTGCAGTGCGGCCATGCATGTCGGGAAGACTGCGTGACCCACGAGGCGCATTTGTGCCGATTTGCGTCGTATCCTGACATCTCCAAACCCTGTCCCCCGGCGCTATTGCTTGAGGGCGCGGAACGGGCTAAGAGAACACTGAGATGTGATCAAACTTGAGCCAGGTCTGGTCCCAAAGACAGGAACGCAGGCAGACGTTGCTCCAGCGGGAGCCGAGGGGGGACGATGCCGAATGCCCTTTTGGGACATGTGGGTGGCAGGCAGACACGGAGGCCGACTGCCTGGAGGGGGGCCGACGCCATGTCGCATACGGGAAAGCGCATGTCGGTACGCTGGATTCTGGTAAGGTAAGTGCACACAACGCACGAGGTTATTCACGGCTGTCCTGTCTAAGGGGGTTTTCAACTGTCATCGCAAAGTTTGTGTTATTGAATGCCAAGCGGCCGAGCACTTCTTCCAAGAGGATACCGAATCCTCTCCTCCCATCTGCCTGCGCACGTCTCGAAAAGCAAAACCACCATGACGCTAGCCGTAGCTGAATGCTCGATGCCTCTTCATCCGTCTATCCCAAACACAAGTTTGAATCGTAACCCTCATCAATGTACTGTACTGTTTTCCCACAACTCCGATTGCTGAATGAGCCAAATGTCCGTATCTTCGACCGGTTGCTGACCCTCAGCACTGGAGAAAATGCCATGCTCCATCTTTAAACGCCTCGTGGCTTCGTTATGCAGAGATCAGATCGCCGCCATGCAACGTCTCTAGACGACTACTCCCACCTGCCCGCTTTCCTCGTCAACTAAACATCTCCGTTTCCCACTGAGAGGCATACCGTCGGGTGCCTCTTCCTCGAAGCTGCCGTTAAACACTTCGGCGAGGGCTTCGCGATCTCGGCGTCGCTTAAGCTTGTCGCTGCTCTGTTCCGCTTCTTCCTCCCATGTCTCCATGTTGTCCTCGTCAAAGTGTCCCACAATGTCTTGCCCAAGAACCTTGCCCAGCCGCTCCTTGAGTCCCAAAATTGGCCAGACTGGCACTCTGGTGTACTCGATGCGAATACCGCCGCCCTCGTTGGCCGCCTCCCCCATCCTCTCAGCAAGCGTCTTGCCAGCCCCGGCGCTGGGGTTCTTGGTTGGCTCGTGGAACTTGCGCAGCAGCTCCGCTGTCACCAAACCCTTGTACACAATGAACTCGGATGCGTCGTTGTCGTTGGTCAAGATGTGAACCGTGACGTCGTGGAACTCTGGCTCTCCAAGCCCCAGAGACAGGGGCTTTGAGGGGAACCATTTATTCGCAGTAGGCTTGGGCTCTCCATAGAAGCGCCGCTGCGCCAGGGCAAGAATGATACCGACCAAAAGAGGATCGTGGTTCGGGTTGGGGGGGATGAACATCTTGGATCGCAGTTGTTGCAAACGCTCGACTGGTCCGTTGTACGCACGGTTGGGGCCGGGTATCACGCGATACATGTTACGCCGTGTTGCGGCAACCGACGCTTTGCCGATGTAAGCCAGAACTGGCTGAGTGAAAGGCGGTTGCTGGCTGGCATTTCCACTGCTGGCTCCGTTGCTGCCGTTCGTGCCTGTAGGGACACCGAAAGACTCGGCAGGACGCGTCGATGCTGATTCGAAGGAGGCGATTGAGCCGCTACGCGACGGTGTCGCGTCCCAAGCCACTTGCACGCGGCAAGTATCACGATAGACCAGACCACCAAAATAATGGTGGAGGTCGAGCTGTGTCCTGGCGCGGAACAGCTTGCCGGGATAGAGGGTCGAAATGACGGTGCGTATCGAGTTGGTGTAGAAGGTTCTGTTGGATCCAGGGGCCAGCATGTTGGTGAGCTCGCGGCTCAAGGTTGTTGCCGCTGGAGAAGGCTTCATATGGCATCTTGAGGGCGAGACGGGGGTGCCGCGCGGTGACTGAGGGGGAACTGGAGTATTGGAAGGAGGAAGCTCGACGAATCGCGCATCGAGAAGGCGAACGTGCAAGTCGGTCCAGCAGATGGGGCGCACGAACAGAGAGATGCCGGCGTGTTCCCACATGAGATCGTAGAGGGAACCTTCGTCAGGACTGTAGACGCGACATGTTCGTTTGCGCTTCGCAGGCGCGGTCATGGTCGGAATGGGACTTGAGGAGGGAGGGGTGGCGTGGATGGGTTCTGGCGACGACATTGTCGAAACGGTCGGCGCGCTGCTGGGGAGATCCATCTTGGCGATGGGTAAATCGGCGGTGTTGCGCAGATGTCCGAGGAAGCTGCTTCTATTGAACACTGATCTTTTCGCTTGTTAGCATACTAGTAAACGCAGAAAGGAGGGTTGTTGCAAGGGATGATAAAAACAACAGCGGCGAGTAGGACAGGACGGCGGCGACAACAATGGAAAGGATAGTCTTACTCTAAAATGAGCATCGGTGTGTGGCGCACTCCCTTTCGTTCTTTTCGGGGCTCTTGGGGGCCCTCTGTGCCTCTTGGGGGATCCCACGTTGGACGCGACTGTGGACGGTGGTTGTGGGTGATTGACGGGGCAGAAGCCGGGGGTTTAGTCGGCGGAACAGGGTGCGCGACGCGGTTTTTTGAGAGTCGCAGTGGGAAAGCGAAAGAGAAAAGAGGAGTCGATCCGCAAATGGTCGGAGAATACCCGTCTTGTATGCGACGTGACCAAGGTATTTGAGTAGCGTCGGTATGCGTCGCAAATCTGTTGAGATCGACGATGCGTTTGAAGCCGGCGCCGCAAAAAAGAAATTCTCGCAATCCGGGGTGGTGCTTCGCTCGGAGGTAAGAGGGGGGCGCACGACGGAGAGAGCGAGGGCGGGAGAAAGAGAAAAGAGGCGATGCGATCGATGCGCTGGTTGATGTGTGACGGAGTTGGTGGAGCTGAGGCGGTTGATGGGGGCTGAAGGTGGAATAACAGGAAAGCGGAATCCAGAGAAGGGGAAAGGGTTGATCGTGGGAGCAGTGACTGCTGAAACGCGGGATGCGTGAGTCAAATAACAATCAATGGTGACCACGACTGACCACGACCACGTCAATTGCTCTTGCTGTTCCAGTTTGTGGGCGGTACAGAGTACGAATCCAGATTAGAGAAAAACTGGGAATGGCAGGAAGCACCTGGAGGTGAGGGTGCCAGTGGTGCCTGCCTGCCAAAAGCGCCCCCGAAAACGGGCCAGACTTGCCCTCTACAACGGTAGGAGACCTTGTTGGTGGTGACGGTGACAGCGTTGTCACCGCTTCGCCTGCAGCTACGCCCCGCTCCGCTGCAAGCACTGCTGGACGGGCAGCGAAAGGGCGCGACTTGCCACCCTGCCGCCAACAACCTGACACGCCGGATGAGCGAAGTCATGTGATCCCAGGCACCAGCCCCCTCGCTTAGATGGTGGCCGGTGCCTTGGCCCGTGAGGTGGCCCGTGTGGCGTCTGCTGACAGGGAGCAGCCTGAGTCATCATCGAGCATCAATCCCGTGACTAGTAAAGTCACGTGATACCTACAGAGCTGCGCCACCTTCCCCCCACGGCTGATGGCTGAAGCAGTGAGCAGGAAGCTGAGGTCAATGCACCGCTGGCGGTGCAGTGAGAGCACAGGTGCGGTGGACGTCAGTCAAGCCCCACCACTCCTCCATCGGCCGCTGCTTCGTGCCTCAGTTGACGTCTCACTATATTGCGCCCGACCAACCATCACGACCAGCTTCATTCCCGACCAGACCGATCTCCTGGTCACGAAGCTGTCAAAATGCCGGTATGTCCAATGATCTTCCAACTGCCATCCAGCTCAAGCATGGTGGATGAAACGACACCGCTCCCCCATCATCCATCGATTGCTAGCTTCCTTGGAGCTCACCCCCGGGCATGAACTGAAGCTGACGATACACCCATCCAGGCCTACAACTCCATGTTCAATGCCGACCCCAATGTCCCTCGATTAATAGGCAACTTCCCTCTCCTGCCGCTCCGAACAAAGACCCGCGGTCCTGCCTACACCCTCCCCTTCCCGAACCCTCCTCTGCCCGCCAACGAGTCTCCCGACCCGGACAGCGAGAGCTACGACATCCTCGACGAGGTCCTCGCCCTCTTCCGCGCCAACACCTTCTTCCGCAACTTCGAGATCCAGGGCCCCGCCGACCGCCTGCTTGTCTACGGCATCTGGTTCGTCAGTGACTGCCTGACCAAGATCAAGCCCAGCGCCGGTGTCCGCGATGCTACCAAAGATGTCCTGAACCTCGCCCTCGACACCAACTTTGCCATTCCGGGCGACCCGGCCTTTCCCCTCAACCAGGTGCGACACACTGCTAAAATGACCCACTCCCGCTTCATCCACTGACAACTCACCGCTAGATGTACGAGCCTCCCCGCGACAGACAAGACGCCGAGCAGCTTCGACAGTACATGTCCCAGGTCCGTCAGGAGCTGGCGGCACGCTTACTGGCGAGGGTCTTTGACGAGGGCGGTGATGGAAAGCCGAGCAAGTGGTGGCTGAGCTTCACCAAGAGAAAGTTCATGGGCAAGGCGCTGTAAAGAGGCTGTTCAATATCAAAAAGTCCCAGGGGGATGACGACCATCAGGAAGAACTCATTTTACGTGTTTGACTTTAGAGCGACCGGGCCAAAGATGATGCCATTATACTCTCATACGGCTCTGAAAGCCTCAATGGAGATGCCAGGGTATCTATATGCAAGCTGCCATGTTTTCCCTGTTCGCCCCGCATCCACCGTGTTGCGTGTATTCTGCACTCCACGTAACCGTCACATTCTCCAGCCATGTGTATCTATGCCTCCGTCTTTCTTCTCTTGAACTTTCCGCGGGCCTCGACCTTGCCCTCCGCTGGCACCGCCTTCCAGCCTGTAAACACGTAGCCCTCCGCTCCGCCACGACCCATCATCAACGGATGCGTACGCCCAGGGAGCACCTGCCAGCGCTTCGCGCGACTCGTCTGCACGTTGGCGCCCAGAAGCAGAGTCGGGTTGATCGGGAAGTCATCAGAGCCCTCCCAGCGCTCCAGCTCCTGAAGAGACTTGCCAACTGCCTCCGCAGGGGGGTTCGACGACCAACCCGCACGACGTGCGATGCTAAAGCAGTCGGCGAGCTCGGTCAAGGGCTCAATGCTCTGCGAGTATATCGCAATGGGAGCTCCGCCAGCCAAGAGGGGCAGAGTGTGGCGCAAGACGGAGACAATGTCCATCGTGGTAGCAATCACGAGGCCGGAGAAGCCGCCCGCGCGTGTAGAGTCGACAATGTAGCGGGTGCGAGCCCAGCGTCTACGCTTGCGGTGGTAGTTTCCTCGGCGGTTAGCCTTCCAGGAGTGAAGCACCTCGTCGGAGACATCGGGGGGCGGCGTGGAATATGTGACGTCCTCCTCGGGCTCCAGCAACTGCAGCCAGGAGATGGGGAGCAGGTTGGTGGCCAGGGGGTGAAGGGGGTGCGGTGGGTTCGGATTTGTGCTGTCGAAGTTGTAGTACTTGAGGAGAGCGAGGTTCGGTTGACTGTTGGGATGGATGAGGGTCAGGGTGTTTGTCGGAGCGAAGATAGACTCGAAGTCGTCGCGGCGGGGTGGGTGCCTCTTGCGAGGAGCTTGTTGCTTCTGCTCCTCCCCATTGTTGACCGCAGATGCATCGGGCATGGCCTCGTCGGGCTTCGTGGTGTCCACAGGGGCAGCATTTGCGCTCGTCTGCTCCGTATTTGTCGTGGTTTCTGCGGGCTTGTCTGCGGTTACGTCGGCGTCGGCGCCCTCTTTCTTCTCCTCGGAATTCTCGTCCTCTTCAGTTTCGCTCTGGTGCAAGATCCCCATCCTCTCGGCCATAGCAGCGGTAACAAGACCAGCAGTGTCATCCACCACGAGCCACCGGCCACAGATTTCTGACTTGTCAAGCATACCGGAGCCGTCAGCCGTCACCATTTCTGGCTTGTCTGTGGGAGGAAGCCCGCCGAAGTGGACGTTAGCCCAGCAGCCCAGCAGACCCATCATCTCCTCTCTCATCTCAAGAACCTTGCCGGCATCCTTCTCCTCCAGCAACCACTTGCCCAGTGTCAAGGTGTCCAGCGGCTGTATCGTGAAGCGGCGGATGTACTTCTTCGTTTTCAAAAGCTTATACTTGGCCAGGGAGAACGACGTCTTCTGGTCAATGGCGGTATGCGACAAGAGCAGCTTCGCAATGATGTCCTTGCCGGCGTCGGTGTTGCCCTGCTTCAGCTGCTCAATCTCCTCGGTGGTCAAGGTCTGACGGGCAGTTTCGTCGATGATCTCGCGGCGGGATCGGGCGACGACATCGCCGCTCTCGTTATCAACGACGGCAAACTCGGCGCCGTCTGGGGCGGCGATCACGTTCTCGAGGTTGACGCCGTCTTCTTCGGCAGGCTCTGCGGTCGTGTCGGCGAGGGCGTCGGCGTGGATCTCGCTCGGGGGAACAACTCGCAGTCTGCTGTAAGACTCGCCTTCGCGCTTGTCTTGAATCTCGTAGGTGAGGTGGTAAGGTCGATCAATTACGAGGTTTGTCGGGAAGGAGCCGAGTTTGCCCAGGGAGATGGTCCTGGAGGCCATTAGCTGAGGTCGGAGACGAGAGAGGCGCAAAGCTGAGGACGAACGTGTTCGGGACGATCTGCAAGACCTTTGTATCTTCCGATAAAAGTTTTATGGACACCCATTGGTTTGGCTTCACGAGGGAGTACATGATTGCGACGCAGGTTCACCAGGCGAGGTGGTGGTGTTGGTGGTTCAGCCGACGGAAGCCTTTGCGAAAAGGAAAAAAAAAAAAAAAAAAAAGTTGGTTGGGGTGAAGCGCCAATTGGGCTTATCGTTATCGGGAAAATCAGCAGAGGCCAATCGAAAGTTAGCAGTTCGTCCTTGTCACTCAGGTACCCCGCGCGGGGCAATTCTAGTGAGTGCGCCGCTGGAACCTGATGGGAGCCCCTGAACTAACACCCACCTACCTTACCTGGGCATCACCTACGATCGTCCGAACTGTCACACTTCACTTCAGACGCCGCCACGAAACGGACATGCAATGTTATTTATCAAGAGCATGTGTTTAATTCCCGGCTGTTTAACGAATTACGAGCGTCAGCATGATGGCATGCGCCGGTTCATTGGTCAATCCAACTCAATCATCGCCTTCGCGTCTGGGAACGTTTCCGGAACCCAAGACAACCTTCGCCCTTTCTTCCATGCCCATCAGCCGGAGAACGCCAGCGATCATGTGCAGAACAATCGTCAAAACTCCAAGAACAATTATCGGGAGCAATGTGTAGGTTGTGAAGACTAAGAGAGCAATAAGTTAGTGAGAAAATCAACACGAACGATGAGTCCGTCAGGATGACTTACACACTCCGCCTCCGGTCTGCTTCACCACATCGAACAGCTCTCCGCGCATGATGTCGAGAGCTCCCTTCTCCCACTTCCACGGACCAACAAGACGAAACTTGCTGTTAAAGTTGGATCCCATGGCCCATGTCAAAAACGCCTTGAAACCCTGGCGTCTCATGAAAGTGAACGTTGGGGCGGCACCCATATCGAGGGCAAGCTGGTACGCGTACGATTCCTGCTCAACTCCGTGCTTGGTCTTGAAGAAATCATGCCCGCCTCGTGCCTTGAGTGCATAGTCGATTTCGTAGTGAGCTACAGAATCCGCGTATTCAGAAGGCGAGGGAATCTGCTGCTGATACTTGTGACGAAGGAGATTGAAGACCCAAAGCTGTGCTTGCAACTCTGCGAGCGGGGGTATGGCGCCTGCATTCAAGTAAGCATCTTTTCGGGGCCTACGATGATTCCAGGATGACTTACCTATTCCAGGCCGTACAAACCCAATGAAGCCAGCCGTGACATCCCCACGTCTCCATATGCCACGAATGTTCAAATCATCTGGTTTCGGGTAGCCCTCCCCTAAGAAAATAAAGCGGCGAACATATCCTGTAGCGAGCACAAGCAGGTCCGGTCGCAACACCTTCGAAGTCGCTTCCTTCTGATCGAGTCTTTCACTGCGGGGAAAGATTGCAGTCCCGGATTTTGTGAACGAGATGGGCCAAGGTGCGGTCATAATCTTTCTTCCCCCGGTATCCTTCAGCTCAACATTCATCACAAATGCTCGAATGCGGGAGAGAAGGTCTGTTGCGCGATGACCTTCATTAAGATATGGGAGTGCGCGATCTGACTTGACAAGAAACACTAGTACAGTCAGCTGAGTTGTCAGGAGCTTCCGCTGGAGTAAACTCACGAGAATCGGCGTTATTCCGGTCTCCTTCTATTTGGCCAACCCATTGGTCAGGACCTGCGAGGGTCCCCCCCGATATGAAATGAAGAAATTTCAACGTCTTGTCATACAAGACCCATGGCAGTCGAGAATGCTGTAGTCTCTCTGGCAGGTATGCTGTATCAAGTACACTGGCGATGGCCGTGTCTACTGGCTTCTGATAAGGAGCTGGTTTCACAACCCTCATCACTATCGGGATTGGCAGTACCTGGCAAAGTAAGCCAAATGAACAACTCTGCTTTTGGTTGCATGTTACGTACCTTCTTGGCGCAGTAAAACCCATCTTTGTGGCACATCACCACCTCCCTAGCGTTGGAGGTGACGGCCAAGTGAGCCAGATCCATGGCAGTCTCGCCCGCTCCCAGAATCATCACTGATGTGTTTTTGCCAAATTGACGTCCGCTCTTGACTTCCGAAGAATGGAGTACAGACGACACGTTTTCCAAGCCCTCGATGGCAGGTATCGACGGGATATTGTTCAAACCAGAACAGATAGCGACTGCGTCACAGTCCCAAGACAGCTCTTCAGGTCTGGGTTCGTTATCACCGCCAGACCTTCTGTCAACATGACGCTTGTAGAAGACTCTGTGGTTGCCCTGAGTAAGTCGTAACACTTGAATAATCTCAGTCTGGGTCTCGATCAAGTCCCAGAGTCCGAATTTCGTGCAGTACGCTTCAAGATAGCGCACATACTCTTCCATAGGAAGAAAATCTGGAAGCTCCTTGGCGACTCTGAAGTCCGAAAATGCCGTCAGATACTTGGACGAAACCATCTGTCTCCAAAGTCAGCCTATTGTGTGATTGATCCATACTCTCTCCGATGACGGGCGTCGCAATAGAATGAACCAAAGCTTGATATAAGGAGGTCAGAGTGACATATCATATACATACTTCTGCATCCTCGTATACCTTGTGTCTGTACACGCCTCCTATGCTTTTCTCCCGCTCGAAGATCCGAATTTCAATCTCAGGCACGCCGAAATATTGCTTGGCCTGGCTTAGGTACTTGGCAGTAACAAGACCAGACGCACCGGCGCCTATGATGGCAACTTTCATCGACTTCATGCTGAGGATAGTCTACCGTTGAAAAAATATTGTTTTGGCGAAGAGATCTGCTTGCTGAGACTCTTGCTACTATTCAGATTTTCAAAGGTCAGGGGGCTGTGGTCGGGTAGTTGGACCAACAAGCACCAGAACAAAGCCTAATTATGTTGATGTCCCAGAATAGAACAGCCAATCAGAATGTGCAAGACCAGAAAGAATGATCGTTTGGTTGTCTCTTGGAATGGAAGCAGGGCGCTGTAAGCTCAGTAATATAGAACACCAGATGTTCCCGTGGTCGCAGAAAAATCTCGGTATTGATCGGTGCCTGGATGTTGTTCAGCGGTCATGTGGCGCGGATGGGCACACCCGGCTAAGAAACCCGATTGTATTGGGGGCCGAGGGGGCCATTCTTGGAGCGGATCTTACGGGGGGCAGAGGTAAGGAAAATTTGACATAAAAGACTTTCAGCAGAGTGACACATAATCAGCGGTGTGGTTTACACACAAAGATAGGGCGACCACGGTGTGGTACCAGACCTAAGAGAGGCCATTTCATTCATCGTGAACAGCTCCGTATGTTCGGTGATGAGGATAAGTGCCCGGCTTTGAGATAGAAATTTGGGACTCCACAAGAGACAATACCGCAGGCCTACTACAGCTCCAAATGCCTCATTTCCGGGCGAATAAATGAGACACTATGCCCCTTACTGGAATGGTATGCTATCGAAATGTGTATGAAGGATCTGGGCTTACTACCATAGCGAATGACTCCTGCCTCTTACTTGCAAGCAGGGCTGACAGTAGCTGAACTTGATAATGTGCCAAGGTGGCGGAGCCAGCCCCCAACTGAATTCCGAGGTTTCGGTGGAGAGTTCAGTTGCGTAATTAGATTTCGGGCGAAGCTGAACCAACTTCTGGCCATGATTGGTCTGTCACATATTGCACTCAATCGGGCGCGGGAACAGCCAAAATGCTGTGAGTTCCTTTCCGACCTGTCATATCTCGATCATATTATGCATGTTTGCTGGAGTGGCGATGGCGACTCTCACAACGCGTAGTAAACAACGAAATGATTTCTGCATGCGTGCGAATTTCGCAGCGATTTGGGTTTACTGTGTGACGGATAATCGTTTGGCGGGTGTTACATCCTGTAGGGAAAACGCACTTTCATCCCTAGGACAACTCGTACCACAGAATGGCATATCATGACATATTCTTTGTTACTCTTCATACACTTAGACGTAAATCTGTTACTTGATGGCATTATATATGTTGTAATGACAGCCTGCAGTTGCGTGTAGAACATCCGACGATGCAACCAAATTGATATCATTGTATTATGCCGATGCTCTCCGTCTCTTTTCCTCATTCAACCTCTCTATTTCCTCCCTCGGCCACCGCAGAAAGTCTGCAAACTCTGGACCCAAGTACAAAGCGACCCCATGAAGAATGTGACTGGCCCAGCCATCCATGTACCATAGCCAGTCCAGTGTCTTGAGGAGAACAACGAAATGCGCCAAGATCAGAAGCGCGACGTGTTTCTTCTCCTTGAGACATTCCACAAACTCGTCCTCCATGCGATAAACCCACGCAATGATAATTTCCATCTTTCCATCAAAGGCATGTCGTGGCTTTTGCGCGGTGCCAAAGGTTTTGGCAAAGCACTCGGACAGATCGGTCACCACCTTCTCGTAAATCCGTGAGTTCTGGTCATTAGTCACAGCTATTAGGTCGGAGATCCTGCGTACAGCCGGTTCCCACTCGACAAGTCTCTCTGTCATCTTCTCTGCGGGTGGCTCCTCCTCAGGTTGCTCTGTCGGCATTGGTCCCAGGACACCAGCGAATATGGCATGGAAACCAATCGTTTCCACAACCATCCTAACTCCCCGCAAAAGTTCAAACCATGCTACTTCTGCGCCATCGGATATAATGAGAAGATGACCTGGGCTTGGCCGTTGTGCAAAACTATACGAGCAGACCAGTGTTGAGGCTATATACAGCGCCCCGGCATTCTCTGTGTTCAAGTTGGGTAGAATATCCATGATTTGGCGAAGACCGATAGAGTAATGCCCATCAGCAATTAATTCGAAACGAGCTGCTTCATCAGACCTTTGTCGCGCTAGGTGTAACGCAGACACTGCTAGCAGCAAATGCAGGACGCAGTGATTGCTGAACGCCAGGCGTGGTACCTTTTCTCGCCAGAGACGAAAATCACCAGGACAAAGATCATCCGAAGTCATATAGTGATGCTGCAGTTCCATATCATCAACTGTCCACATCCACATCGGACTTGGTAATGTTGGCGGGCAGTCTGTAGTGAGGGGCAAGTCGCAGGGCGTCGACCCCAAGCTCATGATATCTGGCAATTCTGAGTCGGCAACGCTAGAGTATGGAGGACTCGGCCCTTGAAGAACCGGGTCCCAGTTCTTGCGAGGGCGACCCCTTTTCCTCGGCTGGAGAGCAGCGTTTGCTTCGGGTGTTGTTTCTGGTATTGAATGAGGGTCCGGTTGAGTAGCGACAAGCGCGAACTCGCACGTAATGAGTGCTTTCAAGCACTGCCCGCATCTAGGTTTGACTTCGTCACACTACATGTATGTGAAGGTCAGAAAATGGTCAAAAAAATATAAAGTGGAAAAAAAAAAAAAAAAAAAGGAATTCCCCTTCCGCGGAGGATGTGTGCTTACCTTGATTCTTCTTCTTTTACAACTTTTGCAGCCGTTTCGTGATTTTTTGTGGGATCTCCTCTTCGCGACGTGACATGTCGTGCATGTGCAGCCCGGGTCGCCATGTTTTGGATTTGAGGCGCTGGTTTCGCTCATTTCAACTACTCAATATTGCAAAGATTTCTCAAGTTCGTATTGACATGGAAGAACGAGACTTACTCCGCTGGTGGGCAGCAGGCAAGGAGAAAGACGGCGGTTGAAGAAACCACCTCATGGCAAAGCGGCGGTTGGCGCCGCTAAATAAGGCTCAACAGGCCTCTAGCTTCCCCTGAACGGCACTGCCACATGTGGTGCCAAACATGCCAAACAGGGTAGTCCCCGCTGTGGAGGCGGCGGTTGGCCGCAATCGAACTTCGGCTCAGTGGGTGACTCTTCCACTAACAAATGCAACTTCGATTTTGTTGAAGAGGTGCCATGCGGCCACAGAGACTTCCAGTGATGTATCCTTCTGCTGCATTGGAAATCAGTTCAACATCTGCCTCTCAAAGCAGGACAGACCTGTAGACTCTAGTCATATCGCTGGTTTGGCTGTTCCCTGTTTCAATGAGGACTGGGCCCAGTGAGTTCTGTTCGCTCTGTACGGATGGCGCGTTAAGAGTGTCGACGAAGCTCGGGAATAGCGATGACTGTGGGGTGAGGCAGATGACAATTCCGGATCCACAGACTCCGAGCCATCGACCAGACCATTCGGCTTGACAAACTCCAGACGAGCTAGAAAAGAGAAGAGAAAGAAGTATTTATGTTCAGAAACAACTCTTCACTCATTGAAGAAAGTACCGTGAGATGCTCATGTCTGTAGCCTCCGTCTGCGGCGGGTCGTGCTGGAGCCTAGGCGCCTAGCGCATTCTTCTGGGGGAGAGCTGCGTAAACGAATGAAGCGTGAGAGATTTTCGTATTAATACGAAAATACGTCATGGCCTGGGTCCATCAATAACACACCCAGCCAACCACGATCGTTCTTAACGAAAAGGCTTTGCGGTCTTCTATTACTCTCTTTCTTTATCAAACTAACACACTACCCCCTGTGCCCCTCCCGGAACTGACTATCCTTCACCCTGATAATAAGCAAGCATTCAATCCCCTTGATGCACGTACCCCGGCGGAACCCCACTGAGGCCTTGTACCGATGATTCAGTATTCAACTGCCGTAGTCGATCTGAACGTCTCGCAGAAACCATTTACATTCCTTGCATTTTCATACTGTCTCCCTGAGACTGGTAGCCTTCAGTAACAGGTGCGTATTGGGTTCGGCCTATCACCTCATTCTCGTGCTGAATCAGGACGCAGCAAGGGCACCAGTACGCCGTACAGCAGTCGCCACACTCGCTGCCGTCGATTCCAAACTGCTGACGGATGTCGGTTCGCTTGCTCATAAGATATCTTTCATTTGGAAAAGAGAAGTTAGCAGCTGGTCAAGGCTTGCTCGGCATGTGGAAACCCGCAAATCTAACGGGAGGAGTCTGGGAAACGGGCATTACTTACAACCAGCCAAACCCAATAGAGCCTAGAGCGGATATCATAAAACATTCTCCATTGAGAGGTGAGTAGTTTGTTAGGTTGGGATCTCTCATGCGTTCGGATGTCTTTCCGAAAACTGCGCGCCAGGGTTCACGTCAGTACATTACATTGATGGACCCAACTGCGTTGAAGTCTACTGACCCAAGCATGGCAACCACGTGGCCATCATGCAAGTGCCGCATGGGGAACAATCCATGAGACTGCTGTTCCACTCTCGTTGCGCCATGATGCTCTTGCAGAAGAAGGATTCTGGTTGTATGGATGCGTGCCGCGTGTGGAGCCTGGCGTAGTCGGTACAGCACGACCGTAAGGTAGGTCTTGGAAAGAAGTCCGGGTAAAGATATGGAAACAAGTAGAGATCGACTAAGAGGTGGTTTCGATTGTCAAATGAGTGAATTGGAACATAAAGGAGTGGCAGTCTGGAGCGACAGAGTTCGCTGGCTTGTGTCAGCGTCGACCTCCTTTATACGCTTGCTGGCCTCCGGCAAAAATTGACGATTCCGTCGAAGAGCTCAAGCTTCTCGGTCAGTACGCATTGATATTACCTAATTTTCAATTCGTTTTCCAATCAGCTTCTTGAAATGTCATCTTTGCGGAGTATCTACCAGGGTGTGCATCGCGGAAAGGGTACGATCAGTATCAAAAAGACCGTATCGAATACGAATTATTATGTCAGCAAAGTTTCGACCCTCAACGCCACGACTCCTTTTGGACACTTGAGATAATCAATAGCCTGTGGAGGACATATTTTGCTTGAGCTAATTTAATTGAAACTCTTGTA